TACTATTTTCAAGGAATTATTTCGTTACTTTTTAGTGTACTGTTTTTTTGAGAATATTTTGTATTTGGTGTGTTTTGTTTTGTTTTTAGTGTATTTTGTTTGGAAGTCGGTTTTTTTAACACGCCAGTACAATCTCTATCAAGAATTTTATAATTATTCAAAGTGTACCTGAATGAAATATTTCAAGTAATTAATCCTCCTTTCTTATTTCAGACAATTTATTAATACCGTCTACTGTTAAAACATAAAAATCTTTATCTTCTAAATTAAAACAAAATCTGTTACCTTCCAGAGCAAAAATAATATTAACTTTCAAATATAACTGTATTTTCAGGACTTCATATGAAATACACAAGGTTGAAAAGCATAAGAATTGTTCTTATGCTTTCTGTAAAATACAAATATTTGTGACTAGCTTTGGCCTGCCCGTCCGCGTGGTATTTAAAAAAACAATAGTATGTAGCCTATGTGTACTTCCAGACTATGCTCTATATCTATGCCAAATTTCATCTAGATCCGTTCGACCGTTTAGGCTACAAACTCTAACAAACATACATCCATCTAACTTTTTGCATTTATAATATTAGTATAACAATAATTTACCTGCTTTAACAAATTGCCGCGTAAACTCAGAACACGAAAAGTTCCAAACCATTCTGAACCTTCCAACTCTTTAACAGCAGATATACTGTTATTGTCTAGATATAAATCTGCAAGCTTCTTATACTGAGGATTCTGGATTATCATTCTTATAGTACTTATCTGGAATATTTAAATTTTTATTATAAACTAGCTGTTTCTCGGGACTTCTCCCGCGTGAAATAAAAAATAAATATATAGCATATGTTACTCATTGATAGCTTTTTACTGTTGAAAGAACTGTCGAAATCGGCCCAGTACTATCTGAGTTATTTCAATACATACAAAAATACAAATCTTTCCTCTGTATAATATTAGTATGGATTAGTATATACAAAGCGATGTTACTAATCATGGTAATTGACATCACACATTTTGTTGATTTTTTTTTATCTTATCATATGTTCTGTTGTGCTTTCTTGTTTATTAGACCTTGAAATTTATTAGTAGCCTTTATTTTCATATATATAATAATATATTCTAAAGAATTCTGTGTATTGTCTATGACAAAATTAATATTATGTAAGTACTCGTTGGAAAATTTTCCGATGCTTGTAAAAGCCGATACCAACGGGTGGTAACGTGTTTATGACAGTAGAAAACAATTTTACTCGTAAATACGCAGGGGTTGTTAGAAAAAACAGGAATGATTTTTTAAATTACGTTTGTATTATGAATGAAAGAGAATTTTGTGTTACATTTTTAAATACATCAAAAGTTACAAACAAAAAAAATATGTTCCTTGTTTATTTGAATTTAAAAAGGTATTACTGCAAATATACTTTTTTATTTTATTTTAATTGGAGCCCCAGTTGTTTCCTTGTTTTACGAAAAAAAATAATTGGATTAATTAACAATAAGTTACCTTATTATTTTCGAGCCTTAGGGTCGTAGTTCCGGGAGGCAACGTCGCCGGGGGCACTTCTAAATGTCTGTTGGAGCAATCGACCGTGATCATTGGAATCACAGCCCCTTCCAAGTCCGATACTACATGGGTCATCGCGCAAGCACACGGCTCTGGGCACGTTTGACGCACCATCTTATAAAAAAACAAGTGTTACTATAAAACTATTTGTTTATTAAGAAAACAGGGTCTGTTTTTTATTGAATTCAAAGAGGAGAATGCTCTCTATTTGTTTTTATGTTACTAGCTTTCGCCCGCAACTCCGTGCGCGTGGAATTAAAAAAAAACGAAAGTGAGTAGCCTATGTGTTCTTCCAGACTATGTTCTACCTCTATGCCAAATTTCATCAAGATCTGTTCAGCCGTTTAGACTACAAACTCTAACAAACATCCATTTAAACTTTCGCATTTATAATATTAGTGAGATAGTAAGATTGTATTCCCGACATTGTGAGTATGGTAATACTCACATATGTCGGGAATATGAGTAAAAGAGTATTAGATTATAAGAAAATCGTTAAAGCCCAATAATGTAGTATTGCATTATGTAGAGTGGGTAGAGGCAATCGGTTTCCTAATTACAATTCTCTGTCCCTCGTGAATTGTATCATACCGAAAGTAAGTTTATTATTTTGCTACTACTTTCGGTTCGCGTGGAATTAAAACAAATAAAAGTGAGTAGCTTATTTTTTCTTCCAACTATGCTCTACATTTATGCCGATTTTCATCGATATCCCTTTAGGCGGAAAACTATAGTAAACATCTATTCTTCCATCTAAACTTTCGCATTTATAATATTAAGGCTCCTAACTAAATTTATTAAAAAATACTGAACAATCCGTATCTGTCTATAGCATAAACATTACGATACAACGCAGAAGTATCTGGATCTTGTTTTATAGGAAATTATGATTTATATCCCGTAGCTTTACTATTTATATTATGTAAACACGACGCTATTTCAGACGTGCCAAACGCATTGCACATAATGTATGACAATAAACTTAAGTACGCTAATTTTCCGATAACGACGCTTCAATAAACCTAAAAATAAAACCATTTGCGTAATGATCAGTAAACTGTGACGTCACCAACCATGTCCGATGAAACGATTTGTAGGAAATTTGCGAAACATGAACAAATACAACAAAGGCGAAGGACACTAATGACTATCCAATTAGTGTATGAAGACCTGAGTATAAACCCCTTTATATATCTTATATTGTTTCACGCTTTAATATAAATAGTAAAGCCGAAGTTTATTTGAACGCACTTCTATCTGGAAATATCAATTGGAACGACTAGAATTAATAGTTAATAGATAGTTTAATTGTGTATTATCAAGCAGGATCAAAACGTTATGGTCAGACTACGAACCTTATGAATCGTGCTGAATGATATATGATAAGGGAAGGAATAAATGATAACGCAGCCAATAGATTTGGGAAAGAATTATAAATAAATATTTTAAATCCCATATATCTTTACATCAGGTATTCGATTTTTTATTAAAACTTTTCTAAATATAACAATGGACATATCATTAAAAGTCTGTATCGAAAATAGAACTGCGATACAAACTAACTAGTTAGTAATAGTTAAAATTCAACTAGCAAGATTATTTTTAGAGGTTACTAATAAACAAGAGGACAAGTAGCATCGCTAAAATAGAATATGAAAAAAAATCCCTTTGTGAATTGCGAAAATTGCGATAACGGACATAGAACTAAAAAATACCCTAACCTTGTATACAGCATCAAGCCTTGTAGAAACAAAATCGAAATACGAAAATCGTTCATTGCTCCTACTATTCAAATTAACATAGCATTCCATATCTTATCGTACTATCATAAATATTTATTATTGCGACTTCGATATGTGCAGGCTCTTTGTACTCTTTGTCAAAAGAATTATTGTTTGCAAAGGCTTATCAAAGGCTGAGTTGATGAAAAGTTGACATAGTGGACAACATAATGTGGTCATAATGATGAACTGAATATTTACATTATGGTAACGCGTAGACTAGCGCTTGACCATATTCCTGGTTAACATTACTATCATGAGATCGAAAAATGGTAATTGCTTTGTAAGTCAGCAGACAAGAAAGTACGGGACTAGTAAATTTGACAAACTGAAAGACAAACGATGTATATAGATTGATCGTTTTATTTCATTGACAAGTAATTTATTTCGCTCTGTATTACTTTGACATTTCATTTTAAATTTAGTAGGGATGGGTTGTGTAAAATCAGTCATGAATCTTATCGGTAATTATTTAAACTGAATATCGATAGTTCTAAATTTTTCGCTATGCGTGTTTGTTTCGTCACTACGATACCGATCTATTAAATATGGCGTTTGCCTTCATAGAAATCAAATTCGATAATTCATATACGTCATTTATCAAACTAATCTATTTTATTTAGACAAACTATAATCCTCTGTATCACTATTAGTATTATCCGGAAGTGGATAATGATAACTGTATAGTTATAGTTACAAGAATGGAGTTTTCTGTCAATAAAAGTTACTCAGGAAATGATGTTGTCACTTTTTAGTGTATTTTGTTTGAGAATATCACTTTAATTCGTTTTTTTAGTTGCCAAAAGGAAAATTATATTCGTAAGATATAATTCGATGTGTCCTAATCTGTTTCCTACTTAATAAAAGTGGAGTGCCTGTATGTCATATCGAATAAAAAAAACTCTATAATCCGCGAATCTGATATCGAAAATCCGATTTTATAAATATTGATCTGTCTGTCTGCAATCTTAGTTCTATCATCTCCGGAAGGACTATATCGGGACTATTTTGACGGGATGCTGGCGGGACGATAGCTTTTTTAGCAAGCGGGAATATGGTAGAATTTTTTAAATTCCGTTCTGAGGAAGTCGTGGGCCACCTCTATAACATGAATAGTTTTAACTAAACCAGTTTAGTTCGGTTGAGCTTAACTCGTTAACGACAGAAATCAAAACAAAAGAGCATTACCTTTATGATATCCATGACTTTATGAAGAGGTTTTCCTTTATAAAGCCTTTGATTGCAAATTAACTGATAATAGTCGACGATACGTGTTCTAACAGTACTGTTATCTTGTTCTATTGCCAGCCAGTCTAATCCACCATCGCTACAGTCCCATTTATTATCTAAAACAAAAAATTTAAACCGAATTAAGAAACAAAATCTATAAAATGTCCAAAAAATATTTCATAAGTAACTTTATGATACGTTGGACTGTGCCAAATTTATTTATTTTGTTTATTAATTAGTAATAAGATTTTTTTTAGCAGTATTCTTCTGAAAATATAGCGGGCGCACACCTTTGACTATCGTGTGATTGCGCGATTGTCGATAGTTGCGTAGCAAATAACACTGTTTAGTTACATAACTAAAATCGAGTAGTGTTCGCACCGCCATATGAGCTCATAAAAATCCAAACGCGACTAAACAGTTGTGCGATAGTTTAGTCAGTGTGCGCACAGTCTTCGGCATTAGATACGATCAAGATTTAGATATGTCTAAATTTTTTAAAATTTGAACATATTTAAGTCATGTATCTTTTTTTTGGAGACCATTAACATATTATAAACCAAACACATACAATGTACTTACTGTTGAGATGCACCCGCTCTAATAGCGGAGGCTCCGTTACCATAGCAACGCGGATATGTCTCAATTCATTCCCTCTTAAATCCAACTCTCGGAGTTCTGACATCCTTGACACCAAGTCGGCAGGAACTTCCCAAAGCGATGTCAATCCATGTAGACCAATTTTCTGTAAAAAAAAACTAATTAAGACTCTTCCATGATTTTTGTTATATATATAAATGACATGTAGGTAGTTACATTTATTTTTAAAAATATACAGTTACATACAAACATCTTTTCTCTAATCATAAAATTGCCAGTTACCGTTCGGAAAATCATAAATCTTGTACACATCACAGACATTTTTAGTGAACTATAAATAAACCTTACGAAATTAATCCTCTTGATATAGAAAACTTAATAGAAACTGTAATTTAAGAGACAAATTTTCAAGAAACAAACTTTGCTCTGGACAAAATGTATTTCATTATAAAGAAGTTTTGAATTACAACCTTTAATACTCGTTTATAAATTATTTTAGATATAAAAGCACATCAAAGGACCTTTTTGGATTCCAGAAACTTATCTTAACAAATTAAACACAAACTTAACTTTTAAGTTAAGTTTTAATTGGACACGCTAAGTAGTAGGCAGTTTGGCATTTGCGTAGTTGACTATAAAAAAAAAACAAGAAATAACGAAATCTTTTAAGAATTTAATATTAAATAACAATACGACAAGGAGAAGTAGACAGGATTCAAATATATAGCACCTAATATAAACTTCTAGTTTGATTCCCCGGATTCAATATAACAATGTCTAGTGTCGGCGTAAGGGTAGGGCGAGGTGGGGTGGGTGCCTAGGCCGCTAAAATTAAAGGGGGAGTCACAGGAGTATAACGAGGTGCTAAATGCGTTATCGTATAGTTTTGTATAGCACAGAAATCTCGCCCAGGGCGCCGGTAATCCTAAAACTGGCCATAACAGTATCATTCTGTACGCAGTATAGCTGTTGCTCGCTACTTCGCCCGCGTGAAATTAAAAAATATAGTTACTTACTAATAACATAGCTTTCTAATGGTGAAAGCTTTTTTTTAATCGGCCCAGTAGTTTTTGAGTTATTTCAATACATGGAAAAATACACAAATATAAAATACAAATCTTTCCTCTTTATTATATTAGTATAGAGAATAGAATTGTAAAAGTATAGATATAGGTTTAAGGTACCTTACAGTTGTCACAATATATGTACATATTAAGACAAAAGTAATTAATCGAGTTAGGCCTATCTCATTAGTGGTTCCAATCTATTTCAAATCCTCAATCTAAGCTCATTTCATTCTTATCTGCTTTCAATTTGTTTCCATAAATAGCTCAAATACGAAACAATTTAAATCGTAAGATTGTATTGAAAATGAAAACAAGAAAACTGCTGGTATAGATATAATATCTAATTGATAAAATTCAGATGAACAAACAACGTAGAAGGTCCTCGATTATCAAAATCCAGACAAAGAGTATGTACTTGTAATATAAATGTAAATGTATTAAGTACGTAACACCCTAAGGGAGCTGAAAGTACGGGGAATAAGATACACCTATTTCATCCCTACAAAATCGGAAAACTGTAAAAGGAAATATTGATTACTTTTATCTTGAGTTGTTTAAAGACAATATTAGTACAAAGTAGAGATTTTTGCTACTAGTTCCATTGACTAATTTATTGAACAACTAGTTGTTGCTAGCGACTTCACCCGTGTGAAATTAAAAAGCGATAACGTAGCTTTCTAATGGTGAAAGAATTTTTGAAATCGGACTAGTAGTTTTTTAATACGTATAAAAATACAAATCTTTCCTCTTTATAATATTAGTATAGATAATATAGATTGAAACATCATTCAATTAAAGCAATTTTTAACTTTATGTGCGTTATAAAAAGTTTAAAATAGAGCTTACTTCAATCTTACTGGAGTCTTCAAAGCGTCCTTTGAAAGTTGTTAAGATCGAACAGTTGACGATCTCCAGAGCTCGCAGCGCGGGAAAGTGATGCTGCAAGCGAGCTACGTTCAAACACAGCCCCGGCCATTCCAATATTTTTAAATGTGTTATTTCATACCTAGCACAAACAATTAAATTGATAGTCACTAAAATAATACAACGTGATTCAGGATTAATTTCCTCGACTTAATAATGATAAGGCTTTTTTTTTAATTAGCTAAGAAATGTCCTGTCTGCAGGGGTGGTCACCAGAGTTTTCGAAGAATTTTAGCTCCGTTATATTATATACACCTCTTAATACTAAAAACGTTCTATGTCAAACATGGTAATATTTTCGCAAAAAAACATTACTCATTTGGTCAATTACTGAAATAACAAAATCCTTTGTTGTTCGTTTTCATCAAATTCAACGCTAAACTGATTACATAATGTTATTCCGTATGATTGTTTATCTAAAGTACCGGTAACAATAACGTAAACAAACTTACTTTACCGCATTAACCCACTCGCTTGTGAACCCTCCTTTACAAAACAGCCGGCTGTGATCCGAAACGCAATTCGCTGTTTTCATAAACTCGTACAACGAACAATCCCTTGAATACAATTCATTTCTTCTCCTCTGCATTACAATTGGTGTGCTCAGTTGAAATAATACAAATATAACTGTCGCCTCACATACTGAAAAAAAAACAATGTTATAATATAAAAACCAACTAAGAATGATCAACTTACAAGATTAGAAAAGAATAAATTTTACAAATATAATGTATCTAATAAGTGTAAGGGGATATGTAGGTACTTAGAGAGAGTTAATACTAGCAATTATCTGTGGTCGTTTAAAATGTACTATATGAAAAATATATTAAATAGTGAAATTAGTAAAAATAAGTAAATGAATAAGTTACCAAAAATAGTGAAAGATAGAAAAATAATAAAAAATACTGCTAACGGCCATTAAATCCTAAGTTTCTATTACGTATTCGTCCCCCTACTACCAATTGAATCGAAAATTAACATTATCAACAATAGTGGTTAATACTTAAAAAATAAAAAACGAAATAACTACTTAGATTGAATAGTTTTTTGTCAAAAAGAAATATGTGTTTATATATTTTTATTACTAAGACATCGCGTCCGCATCAACTTCTAAACATGGAACTCTTAAAGTGACTGTAATTGTGTTAACACTTTACGTCGAATATTTATGTTGTCTCGAAATATTATTCTCTATAAGTTCGTGACGAGGTTATTTGAATCGAATTAATCGTACTTAGTACCTATTATCTAGATTCAAACATTACTAAAATGTTCCAAGTTTTAACTTTAATGCAGAAATTGTTAAAAGTAATTAGTAGAAATAAATTGCCTTAAATCTTGTAATTTTAAAGTTTAGTGAACTGTAGCGTAGCATATAAATTTAGTCATTTTACTTTTAAATCAATCTAGTTATTTTAACTGTAATTTTTTTTTGTGACTGAATGGCCACTGTTTGTGTTGAAGAGGCATTTACAGATTCACCGGGCTTGAGGTGGCCGAGCGCAGATGGCGCTTAGCCTAAACCTCGTTTATGAGTAACTAAGCTCGAGGGCTCCCTAAGGAGCCTCGGCACGAGCTGTTACAATCATTACCGGATCGGAATGTAATTTTATTATTTTATATTTAATTTCACCAGTTTGAATTTAAATAATGTCCATAATTTCAATATTGTACCTCTGCAATATTTATTTTAATTTTAATGTCTCTTAACATATAATAATTAAACTTGTTAAATAATGTATAAGATAAATAATGTTATATTACAAATCAATAAAAGTGTTAAACACTCTGGCTTCCTTGCTAGGGAGAAGGAAAGAAAATACAGAACTTCTGGTGTTCTTGTCAACAAAGTAATTTTAACAAATATTTTCTTAACTCATCTTTACATACTGTCAAGGTATTTGTACACATAGATATTTAATATTTTATAGCAACGTAATGTGCTGTAAAAGCAGCATCACTGAAGAAAATAATGTAAATAAGTAAGAGATATTAAATCCCGCTCTCTAACATAAACAAAATATCCTGTTTAGGAATAATTTTCATCAGTTGTTACATATTTCTAGGTTATTATTCCGCTATCTTATGATCAAAGAATTATAATTAAACATTAGGATGTTTAAATTTATTATCATTTGTGCTAACAATCTGTAATAGACAACGTAATATTTCACTAACAAAAAATGATTATTCTATCACCGTTATCTATAAGTACAAAGAGTATTACATCAAGTAAATATTGTTTTTCTTGATTATGTGCAAACAGTTGAACCATTGAATGAATTTTAATAAACTTTTTACTATTAGAAAAGAGAATCATAACACAATAGTGGCAGAGCCGGTAATGACATCTGTTGCACGTATGGTCCGGTATGCCTGGTGTAATAACACGGCAACACAGAAGACGGGCGTGAAGTGGGAGTTATTCTATGTTTTGTCTGATAAGTGTGCGTGTCTGAAGCCTAATTTTAAACTTTTCCACCCTTATCGTACAAGGAAATGATGGGCAGAATAAGTGGATTTGCCAGGGAAAGAATGCGTGAGTAGGGGATATATTATTCGTCTTGTGCGTCCTCTACTCGCTTTATTAAAGGTAGGCACCGCTGCAAATATGCTTATGGGATTATGGGCACTTTGCTATTTTGGAGAATTTAGGTGTAAGTCACCCCTACATAGGGTAGGCTATGAGCCCCTCAGAGAGGACGGATAGTGAGCTGGTGATGATGATTTAAAATACAACTACGCGAATTAAATTTATAAGAACAAAAAATAAAATCTGTTGAGAACATTGATTTATCACTAACATAATTAAAACACAGAGAAAAAATAAATCAACTTAAACCAACGACAGGATTACAAGTATTAACCTTTTCAAAGAAATAATTCTGTGGAAAAAAAGATAATATATTTCTGTGTAGGTGTGAACGCAATGGAATACTAAAGCGCCCTAGGCCGTAGTAAATTAAATTGAGATATGTATAAGTACATAAAAAGATTGTCATGACAACCTTTTTTAAATTTTAAATTGTATTCAATTATTTGTAAATTTTTAACATACTTGTCAGCTTCATTTTTAAATATAAACTCTTTCGATTAAATGCGCTAAATATAATATAATTTCACTAATAAATCTATTAAGCACATAAGTATACAATTTTCATAACACGATCACAAACCACCATCTACATCACAATGAACATTTTACAATTCGCTCTTTGTTTTATGACTTTTTAGGTATAAAATATTTTAACAACGAAAAGTTTTTCGTGGAAATCGTTTTTCCCACCCCGAGTGAACGTAGCGCGTGGCCGACACGCAAGCCGTGACTGAAGATACGAACCTCTGAAAATGAAAATCTCAAACAAAGATGTAGGAAAATGACGGAACAACAATGCTTACATACCTATTTACCTTAATTTACAGAAAATTCTTTTTCCAAAAAATCTATTTACAAATTTTCTAGGAAAGGTGAAACATTTTTATTTTTTATTTATAGTAATTTGTGTAAAAAAAGACGTTTAATATTGTGCACGAAAACAAGAAATTGAACAAAATGTTTTAAACAGCTAATACGCGAATCACAAAATACCTATAACATGCAATATATTTTTAATCATACTAATATTATAAATGTGAAAGTTTACATGGATGGATGGATGTTTGTAGCCGAAATTGCTGAGCGGATATTGATGAAATTCGACATAGATGTAGACGATAGTCTGGAAGAACACATAGGCTATTTGCTTTCGTTTTTTATTCCACGCGGATGGAGTCGCGGGCAAAAGCTATTGTAAACTAACTTTTGCCCGTAACTACGTCCGCGTGAAGTAAAAAAAATGTCTATGCCGATTTTTATAGAGATCCGTTCAGCAGTTTAGGCTACAAACTCTAACAAACATCCATCCACCCATCCATCTAAACTTTATGTTTATAATATTAGTAAGATAAATTTGCTTCCGTTTAACAATGATACAAGACATACTTTTTCAGCATATAATCAAGTATTTACTTTAAACCAACAGAGATGTTAACCGTATCTTGATGCTGTAAATCATAAAACAACACGGGCCTAAAAGTGAATAAACGTATGTTTTAGGTTATGACAAACAGTCATTGTCAAAAAAGTTCGATGTAAATGATACGATTTATTAAAACGTTACTTTCATATTATATTTACAATGCGCAGCTGTTCACGAATAGTAGTTAATAATAGTTCCGACTAGCTGTTGTCCGCGACTTCGTCCGCGTGGTATTAGAAAACGTCCTAACTATATAAATAACAAAAAGCTACATATCCCTCGGGAACCGGACATTTCTCGGGGATGAACCTTATCCCTTGTGTACTTCAGGCTTTGTTTTATATCTGTGCCAAATATCAATAAGATATGTTGAACCGTTGCAGAATTATCGAGTAAACATTAAAAAAAGAAAATTAGTGAATCCCACGAGAACCGTACCTATTTCCGGGATAAAAAGTAGTCTATGTGTTCTTCCAGAGTATGCTCTATACCTGTGCCAAATGTCATGGAGATGTGTTTAGACGTTTAGGCTACAAACACTAACAAACATCCATCCAACTAAACTTTCGCATTTATAACATTAGTCAGAAGTAAGAAATATCAGTTAGAAGTAAGATTAGTAAGATATGATGGCTGATAGAAATGTATGGAAGAGAAGCACATTCTGTGTTTACCCTCCGTCGGGGTGAGGCCAAACTGATGATGAACTGTTAACGAATAGTAACCACACGTAAGGCTAAAAATATTTATTTGACACCTAATTACAAGATTTAGCAAACCATTAACATTTCGCACAATAGAGACATACGAGGTTTTTATTGGAAAATAAATAACTTAGTTCAAATACACTAATGTACCGAAACAAGGTTTAATTACGTCAAGTAAACATTGCAAAAACTACCATTTAATAGTATTTAATGAGTGCGCTGAATATACGAATCCAAGAATTTAAAACTCTTTAATTATCAGTATTTCTGGTAGGTTCTCGAAGTATAAATACGTAAGGATATCTTTCTGTACACTACATGGCGACCTACCTACGATAAGAAACAGTATAACACATTTATAAAGCTGGCTTCGGTGGGACACGGTATTCCGTGTGAACCTTACTGCGAGCGTCCTTATGTTGAGTCACTTAAGAACACTAAGCTCAAAAATCTAGCTCTAATTCGCCGACGACCGAGGAAAGAACCTTAGAAGTCCGTATCGAGAGGAAGGAGATTATTTCCTTCAGCTCGTTCTCGGAACTGAATGACTGTTATGTGGAGCTACCTCACAGACCCTCCCTCTAGTCGTGGACGTAACCTTGAGACCACAAACCTTAAGAAGGTCATAAACAACTAGTAACAAGAAATAAAAAAAAAACATGCACACGAATTGAGTACCTCCTTCTTTTGCGAAGTCGGTCAAAAAATAAGATATCTGCGTCGGCTTTCTTAGGTGCGACTCTTCCTTGGCTTGGAAACAGATGGTATGTAATAATGTACCAGGATTTTTACAAGCGCTCATACTTTAGACATTATCAGTGCCAGGATGTGGTTATGGTCCACACAATAAAACGGCCATTTGCCTCAAATGCGAACAAAGGGCGGTTCCAGGAGAGGAACAAACGGTTGCCAGATGCTAGTCGCAATAAAACTGCACCGACAAAAACGCGCGCGAGCAGCAGTTGCCTTCTTTTATTGCTTTACAAGTTCAACCTTTGCGCAAGGTCTTATTGTCAGGTGACCGACAGGTGTTTTTTAAAACAAGCTTATCGTAGCTTTTCTGGGCGGAGTTATTGATGACATTTCTGCAGATAATCCTTAAGTATCTTTCTATTACTATTTCAATCTTTTTGTATTTACTTATATAACAAAGAAGGGTTTTCCCGATACCATAAGAAGCATAAATCCTAATAATTTGACATCGTCCAATAATTTATACTATTTGGTTGTGTGCCGGAACTATTGCTCGACATATAAACAAATACTGTTATAAAAATGAAATTAAAACATTACCGAACTAATCAATTTTAAGGAATTTCTGTTCCATTGTTTTTTGTTATAACAATAAACTTGTGTATAGACGCGGGGATGGGAGTTTTACTTTCTTTATGCGATTCAAATTACTTATTGTTTAATCAAGATTACTCAAAAATGGTTGACTTTTGTATTATGCATATAGGGGTCAAAATTATCACAAAAGATCCCCTCTATTACCTCCTAACGGGAATACGTCTAATTACCAATAACCCTGTATAAGACACTAGCTGTTGCGTCTTGTTCAAAACTTCAAAATGTGCAGCCTGATTCAGGAACTAAAATAAAACGAGCAGTTATTATAACAACAACAAAAATTAAGGAAAATCACGAGCATCTTCGTGCGACTAAAACGCGGCCGGAGTTGGCTTGAGACACGTGACGTCATTCGTCACATTGATGTCACTTCGATGTAAAAAACAACATTGGTTCTCAGAGTTACCTATAGTCAAAAACGTGTTATAAATAACGTTAAATCAATACAACCACGACAGAATACACAATATTGTGTTGATGAAAATATTAAATCGGAAATATACACGACCAATATTTTATTTAAATTTCATTATTCCTCGTACAAATAAATGGTAATTAATGATCATTTTCATTTTTTTTTTATTTTAAAGCTAGTTTTGTTATCGTGTTCACAGTAAAATAATTCAAGATTGAATTTCTATATAAACTAACGTAAACGAACTGTGTATTGACAACACAGCGTCACTTGCTTTGACCAATAGCGTTGCGTTTTAGAACTTGGCGAGGGAATTTAAAAAAATACACTTTTTAATGATTATCTTTTGCTACTAAATCACAAAATATCCAAATAAATCTATACAGGTATGTTATATAGCAATGAAGTATACTTTTTATTTGATTTCATTTTATTTAACTAGATAGCATCGAGTACATATAACGTATTTATTGAATAATGGAAATATTTTTTTTTATCGTAATACTCTATTGAATTCCTTTCATGAACTAAGAAAACAGTTCTTTCCCTCCATAGTATAGTTAAACTGACCTTCACAGATATCCGCCGGACAGGTCGCATGGAAACGCCAGCGATTGCTTTGATCCATATTCGACTTGAAATATAGTACAAGCCCGCTCGGCTTATTCATAGTCTAAAATTTAAGTCAGTGAAAATGAAATATAACATTTAGATATGGCAATATATTTCAGTATAAATGATTCGGATGAAACAATGGGAAAACCCACGATAAGTAAATCCAAATAATAATAAGTTGAGCCAAATATCCCATTGTGGTCGCTTCTGTGTGGGGGGGAGAAGGGAGGAGATCCGATAGCTGCTAACGGCCGCACCGCGCCGGCAGCCGGCAGCCGGCAGTGTTGTTTGAATCATGCTTGAGGTATGATGTCTTACTACGTCTTAGTTTGTGAAAAGTAAACTTCGGTAAACTTTTTTCAAAGTTAACAAGAAATCAATGTATTTTAAGTTTGTGACAAATTGTGTATAAGTTTGTGCAGTAAAGAATATTGTTGGATTAATTGTTAACGTGAGTATCGGTATTATTTTGTACGCAAATTGGGACCTTTTGCTTATTGCATTGTTCTTATCATATGTACTATTAGCAGTAAGCACAAACAATTTTTATTGTCGTATACATTTTTGACGATATTCCTCTTTGTCTCCTTGACTTTTCTATCTTGTTCTGTTAATGAATAAAATTGAACTTGTAGTTCGTGTAAATATAAAAGTTAATGTGTATATGGTTACTTTAACACCTGCCACTGCATCGATTTTGATAGCATTTCAAAAGGGTTTATTTGTAACTGAACCTCAGAAGAGATTTATGATTTGAAAATTCTAATAAGACTCATATATTTTTATTTAAATATTATCAATTTCTAAGAAACTTTATGCTGGCATTTTTACGTTTGATATTATTTTTTTAATTAGACATTTGACAATGTCAATTTGACATAGTAACTCATTAAGCTTATTAAATTATAAAAGAAAAGCAATGTTTACGTTTTAAATATAATTGAATAGACGATATAGACAATTTAATAACCAATTGTGTTCACAATAATTAACTATTAACGGCGCTTTGGTTTATAAATAGTTGTAAGCTTATCTATTTATTAAATACTAGGTGTTGCTCGCGACCTTGCCCGCGTGAAATAAAAATATACCCATGTTACTCAGTGATAACAAAGCTTTTCAATGGTGCAAGAATTTTTGAAATTGGTTCAGTAGTTTTTGAGTTATTTCAATACATACAAAAATCCAAGATTCAAATCTTTCTTCTTTATAATATAAGTATAGATTAAAGGCGGAGGTCTCTTAACATCGTCTTTTTATGGCATCTTTTCTTATCTATCCTTTAAGACTGTCGAAGCGGTTTCTTTGTCTTACGTAGCTACCACGAAACTGTTACGTTCTATTCAAGCTAGCATATTAGCAGGCTATTGTTTGGGTCGTTTTGATTTACCATCGTTGCTCTTACGTGCGAGTTGGTCAGTTTATCCACATATTGTTTTTTTCTGCCTCTTCACTGTAGTTCCAATTTCTAGATTTTTACGGTAGTTGTTTAGTTTTTTTCTGTTATTCCACCTTCTGTCCAAGAATTAAGTTGGGCCTCCGGCACGCGAAATGCAAGTGTACGGATACCAAACCGCTGATACTTCTTTGTCTGAAGCCACACGAACAATTTCACTCTGACAGACACCACACAGCCACTATTTGGAATTTGAAGGAAAAGTAATACTTTACTTAAAAATAATAAAAGTAATACATAGCCCGGAAAAGAAAAAAGTATACTCTACGGTTACGAACCGGAAAAAAAAATTGTTGCCTAAGTGGTTAGGCAGATTTAGTTTGGTAAACGAAACATGCCAATAACATGTATTATTTTTGTTACGAAATGTTTTGCACTTATAGAAATGCTGCTCCAAGCGAGAACCTTCTGAGGCGTTTTACATTTTTTGCTGATGCCAATTGTTCCAATTTGAATTATTGTGAAATGCAGTAATTAACACAGAGCACTTTGTATTTATTAAATTGCTGCAGTAAGAACTTTAACATAAAATGTGTTGTTTTTCAAGAAATAGAAAACTGCAAGCTAAAAATATTGTAATTTAATACATTGCAATTCAAACCATTAATTCCAACTTGAATTTCAAATATCTTATTTTATTATTTCTTTTATATTACTATTTTATTTATCCGAACAAAGATCATTGACGCGGCTTGCATAATGAACTAGAGGATATTGTCACAAAACACAAAATGAGTAATAACTTCCCCCACCTAGCGCTTTCCGCCCACAGCCAGTCCACTAACACTATTTGTGACTTGGATAAGTTCATTTCTGTATTCGTCTTTGTTCCGTGTACATCGTCGCTCAAGTTTTTGGAATCCTTGCAAATTCGAGTTTCCGTCTGCTCGTGTTACACCTCGCATGTACTGATGCAATATGTGCTTTGCTTATTAATGATACCAACAATTGCCGACGTAAGATAGTTAATGTATTATTGAGCCGTTCAAATGAGCCATACAAATCACGTACTTAATCGTTAACAATAAATGTCCCAATAACCCGTTTTTAACGTTAGGATCGTTTTTAAGTATTATTCTGAAGACAGTCTCGAATAATAGTAACCTACCGTAAAAGTACAGTAACTTTTTGGTCAGCACTTGATTAACACCCTTACAAAGTTAATTCCAGTTACCAGTAAAATAGAGAAGAAAGCGAGTAAATTGTGGAATCTGTACCATAATTTAGCTTTATAGGAGTACTGAAGAAGTAATTTTGTTAGAACACTCTCTAATGGTTTCAAAAGATAGTAATAAACTCAATTAAATTTCAGGTTTAAATGGAAGGGATCCAAGATACTATCTTTATTATGGAACAATATAATTTTAATGCACCAATTAACGTAAAGATAATTTATGAAGATGATGATGAAGAAACAAGTGAAAGAATAATTACTCATAGAGAAAATGCCCAGGCCGATATAAGGCAAAGAGGAAATGTGCCATCTATAGCTGTAGAAAGCAATTTAGATACACAAGCACAAATGCAAACATTTAATCAAATCAATAGTAATGTTGATAATGAATTGTTAAATTTAGTCATAGATAACATGTCTGGTATTGTAAGAGTACAATTCAAGTTCCAGCAAATTAGTAAAAAGCTAAACACTGCTGAAATAGAAAGATTTAAAGTGAAGTATATAGAAATGAAATACTTCTCCTTTAAAAGATTAATGCGCGCAGCGAAATTTGTACTTATACCACAAAAACGTAATGAATTATTCATCCAAAACATTATAGCTAAAATTATACAGAAAGCAAAAGTAAATAGAAATATGTATTCGAAGGTTAGATCACTTTATGATGATTTAGTAGCATGGACAGAACAGAAATTGGCAACTGAGGAAAAAGACGTTGAAGCACAAAAAAACCTATCATTGATTGTACCATCAAATAATACCGCAAATTCTTGTCATAGAAAAAGGAAATATCCATGCAATAACATCCAACAAACAAATGCATCAAGAGAAATGCTTACAGACAACCGTTGCCAAATGAAAGCACAAAGCACTGAACAAAACAGATATCCTTTATTTGTTAATAATCCTTCTAGTAGTTTGATATATTATCCATCCAATTTGACAACGTACAACAATGCGCCAGAAAATTATTTAAGTAAAATCAACAGTCCAAATTCTGCAATCAGTGTACAAGAACAACATCATGTAACACGTACATTTATCGCTAATTCAACCATTGACCATCAAGAAACAATGCAAAGTCGTATTTCGCAAAGTTTAGTAGATAATTCATCACATTTAGAAAGAAATGCAGCCGATCGTCAAGATATTTCCCGAAGTTCTATATCAAGAGATAGCGGCTTTATGAGTCCTGAATTAGTTTTTTCTCCACAAGAGCCAACGGTAATATATTTGTAGAACGCTTTAAAATTAATAAGATTTTGAATTTGTTTAATAGACATTTATTTACAAAACTTTTTCTTCCAGAACACCAACTACCAAGATCCTCAAACAACGCTTATGTCGAACACTACCAGTAACAAGAGAGTAGGTTTCTGCCAAGTATGTGGAACACAAACGGATTTGTTATGCTTAGGTTGCTTCCAAATCTTCTATTGCAACGATTTGTGTCAGGTAATTACATTTTTCCTCCTCGCGTATTATATGACTAACATGTTAATATTTCTTGTTATAAATTTTAACTGTTTTGGTTTTTAATAGTCTATGCGTTAAATTGTAGAGGTTGTATTTGAACTAATGTTCTCAATTTAATTTTCTCTTTCAGAAAAAACATTGGCATTCGCACAGATTAACGTGTGTAAACATCACTAGTCACTTTAGTAACAGTTTCGCTTCTAACTACACATGAAAGGCAAGATGATTATTTTAAAATACTCTTTTTTTAATTCTAAGGTCTATTAAATTATTTCCTAATTGAAAACAAATGTTTAATAAGTAGACATCATGCTGATAAAAATATATATATTTGTTATAAAGTTACGATTACAAAATTGTGTTTTGATTTACTACCTACCACCTTCGTCAGATATAAAACATGACTAATATCCAATTAAAAAACTGAACAAAATTTACTTTTGAACAAGTACTAACATACGCATCTCCTAGGTTTGTACAGCGATACACGCTATGAGAATCACGTTTTTGGAAAACAATATACAATTACTCTAATAGAACACCGAGGAAGTTTTAAGAAGGATAACAATGGATAATTGGATAATAAAATGACACCCATAAGGCTTGGTATCTGAAGTTAACCGCGTCTCAAGTCACCACCACATATCCAGTTTTGCAAGTACCCACTTAATAATGAACTGGAACATTGACGACAAGAGTTTGTTGATATCCAATAAAATATAAACAAGGTATCAAGTTTTGAAGTTCGCGGACAATGTCAGTCAAAAACCCTGTACACCAGAAAGTCCTAAGGATAGCCATCAAGGTTACAATAATTGGATTCCCATAATCGTCGCGAGACTTATAATTTTTGTTGCCTACCGACACTGCGCCTTTCAACATCTTCTTGTATTCCTCAAAAGATTTGATTTTAGAACAAGAACGAATATTATCATGCAATTTTATGACATACTAGCTTTTCTGGTACTCCTTAATTGGAATTAAATTATAAAAACTTAACTTTATTGTTTATATTTTTAAAACTTTCAATTAAAAATATCAAAATCATAATGCAGAAAAGACAACAACCAATGGCAACCTGGGGTGGAATGTATTGATGAAGGTCTGTGTCCAACAACGTTCTTGTTTCCTTTTTACTATGGTACTTATTACTTGTAGTTTTTGTCCGTTTCCCCCCATGGCAATTTTATCCATCTTATTCACTCCCTCAATTAAATAGCGTGAAAATGTATAGCCTCTGACGTGTCGGAAGTGTAGAGATTTTTGTAAGAAAAAGAATTATTCAAAAATATGCTATGATTGCTGACATCCTACAAAACACACACTTGTTCATGCTATATTCTATTAAATGTAAAAGAAATCAACATCATCGAGTGTTTTATCTAATGTGATAATGATAATACAATACATATAAATTACAATACAATACATACAATTCTGGAATTGGGTTTTCCTTACTTAGCCATATCTAAAAGAAACAATAATCTATTGCTAGTTTTTGGTTGGTACACATTGGCTATATTGAAGCAATACGAATAGATCACCTATTATCATAAATAACCCAGCGCTTGACCACGATTACACCTAAACTGAACTAAAAGAAGACGCGGTCGAAGGAATTTACGCGCTACCTCAGTAAATACCGATTCTCCTCGTTTTTGAAGGTTATTTACCCACATTACCCACATTATAACTTTTTATATAAGGCCGGCAACTGATATGCAGTTCCTCTGGTATGGACATCCCCATGGGTGTTAATGAAGATCTCGGTGTTCCCGATCCTCGTTAGCCTGCTTCTCTTATAAACAAAAACAATGACTGTTGGCGTCATAAATGTTATGCCTACGATCTGTTACACGTGCCGCCCTTGGATGCACCTCGCGGCACGTGTAACCTCGGATGACCGCGCGCCGCCGAAGAGCGGCATCCTTTGATGTTCCTTCGGCAGCGCGCTACGAAAGACGCGGTGTCTTTGATTTTATTTTTAAATAACTAATAAAATCATGGCACGAGGCAGCATTAATTGAGGTTGCGGCGATATACTATATCATATAAACATATTTGGTGTCCAGTATTTTGAGAGCATTAAGGGCGTTAGTATCTTCGAGAAAAACTTTTATTTTAACATATAGTGCACTACAATGACATAATGTGCAGTGGAAGTATCACTGGTAATTGAATTATACCCCTCGTTATTATAATCAACTCATTAAACTAAAGAATGAAGTTTATGATTGTATTGTAACCGCCCAACAATTCTTAGAAAGGCTGCTGTTTTATTTTATAACCTTGCTAAAAAATCGATTTAAATTGGAAGGGTTATTAAGACAATGGGGATGTTTCCTAATGTTACAAATCCAAATAAAGTTATGTTTAATATTTTAAAGACAGCATTTTATAACCTATAATAACATTTAGAGACCTTGAATGTTTGTCTCAAATTAAATATAAATTAAAAACGCTGCAATATTTTTTACCCTCCATTACTCGATCTCAAACACCAATGACGTCACTTTCTTGCATATAACATGGCAGTGTGACCAACTTCAGTGAATGTCAGTGCATTTTGTAGTTATATTTTTTTCTAAATGATTGTAATAATTGAGTTTGCGTGTTTTATATTATGAGGACTCCATTATTGAGTGTTTTTATAATTACGACATAAGTTATGAGCAAAACATTTTATGAATATTACAAAAGAAAAATATATCAAAATTCATAAGAGTAGCTTATAGTACAATTTAATTTATACCTGGTCACACTGGTGTAGGACGCAGTCACTGTTTACACACAAACATAATCTTCCACGAGAAGCAACAAGTGTAATTAATACGTTAAAAGTATCAAATTCTGTTCATTTTGGTTTTTTTCATTTTTATCTCCATTACTAAAAACAACTTTAGACAACAAAGATTTACGAGTATTATCAATCAATGGTTCTTTCAAATTGACAGTGACAGGCCGTGACGCGAGGTTCATATGCAAAGAAGTGACGTCATGGGACGTTTTGGGGGGAAATGAAAGAGTTGTTTTTATTTACGTGTTTTTTATTGAAATAATGAGTATTATATTTTATACTATTTTTTTTCGTGTTCATACATGGTTTATCTACAAAATAAAGGCTATTCCAAAAATTAGGAAACATCCCCATTGAAGGTGCGCAAAGATTAACATCGAACTGTTTTCTAACCAAGTAAATATAGGTACAGTAGATGCAATAAGGGATCCAGGAGTTGCACACGAAGTACGGCAGTCTTAAAAACAAATCAAAGATGAATGAACTCTAGCTTTACTACAGACAGAATATCACTTATTATCGATTATTTAAGATTTTCCAAAGACTTCAATTTTAACAAGACTGTTAGTGATGTGGTCACCGGAAACGTGACCATACGTCACGCGCTATCATGATACGTGCGAGGTATTCCATAAACCTATCGTCGCGTCTCAAATAGTCTCGCTCACAGCAAGGCGGCGCTTACTATAGGATGGCGTGAGCGATCAGTTGCCCCCCCCCCCCCTTCCCTAGAAAGCCGTAAATTTAAAAATACAGATACAAGCTAATTTAAATTACTAAGATGCTAACAATTCCTGAAGACCCACATTGGTAACTGAAAAGAACGCCGAAACTGATAATACGGTCAGCATAATAAAGATAAGTGTAATAAAAGTATTTTTAATATTATCCCCCTTCGTCTTCGGCCTACAACCCCCATCTCCCAGATCGTTGGCGACGAATCTCATGGCCTTTTAGTATTAATATGCTCTAAACATTTTGATATCCGATTTCTTTCATCCATAATGTAGTTTTCACGCCAGTGGAATTCTACGATGATATAAACATTGTCTCACAATAAGTCGTTAAAAGGCACATTTTTAGAGTCATATGTCCTGTCAGATCTTGTTACAAGAATTCTGGGTAACGAGTGTCGTCTAGCCGTTAGCGATAAGATTGCACTTTGCAACATGAATAACAAGACCTTTGCCTTACGAAAGCTTATTGAAAACAATCAGTACGACATTAGTCGCGTTAAAGTATGGTCGCTTATTTTATTCCTTTAATGACATTAATTAATCGTAAGAATTTGTATTAAGTAAACTACATCAGAAATTGCGTGATTTATACAGGTAAGTAGGCGCTTGTTCCTTATTAAGCCTTATACATATATCAATATCAAAATAAACGCAGTCTAAAAAGTAATATGAAAAACTTTTGACACCTCCCCCCAAGAGGTCACTAGACGCCCAAAATTAATTTACTACTCCCAAAAATAAGTCAAATAAAATTTTGTGTAAGAAAATGCCTAGGAACCACGTAAATACTCAGCCATTATAGCACCAAGTACCCAATAAAAGTGAATTCTTGGCTCATGTCATAACAACTTCTTGGTATCCTCTTTATTAACCTATCCTTATTTATAGTTGCAGTGTAAATGTATCCGAAAATCATCAGTTTCGACTTTCATCATTGGAGACCTTCTTGTCCATGGGATATTTCTTTGTCCATACCATCTCTCCTTCTTAATCCTCCTCCTCCTCTCCTTTAATGGATGGTCGTCAGCGAACTTGATTCTGTACTATGCCAAGCGAAACATTTAAACCCTCAGATTTTTCTCAGCTAATGTTTTCATTTCCCCTAAATGTATATCATTTATATCATGTATTTGCAATTAAATGTAACATGAGCAAGCTTCGTAACATTTCGCAGAACACACTATGTAAGCAGAGCTGACCAAAGCACTAATAACTCACAATATGACACGTCTCATTTATAAAGCATTGTTCTAAGTTTGATATTTTTGTTTATACCAGTAGTTAACTGTTTTATCTTTAATTTCAGGCTTTCAATATGAACGATAAATCTCTTCTTAAAGGTATTTCAATTTCATTCTTTAAACCCGATTTTATTACTTTCTGTTAATAATTATGAGCGACGGTGGCTCAATGGTTTGAGCTCTTGACTTGTTATCTACAAGGTCTTGGGTTCGAATCCCGCCATGTACCAATGTGATTTTCGATTTTTAAAATTTTCATATGTACATAAATTTACCTGACGTACTTACGGCGAAGGAAAACATCGTGATGCAACCTGCACATGTCAGCGTAGAAATACAAAGATATGTGTGAAGTCAACCAACCCGCAGTGGGCCAGCGTGGTTTGACTATGGCCTAGTCACGCTAACTTAGGGTAGGCTTCGAGCCCCCAGGTGGGGATGTATAGGAAGCTGGTCATGGTCATGAATTAACTGTCTTACTGTTTTAGGTACCGTTGCTATTATGGAGCGATTTAATTTTAATAAACCAGTGCATGTCGAGATCATTTACGAAGATGATGATGAGGGTGATACAACAGAAGAGATAGATGTTGTTAATTTAAGTGACCATGAACAAACACTAAACTCTTCGTCAATGGAAGATTCTCACGAAACTGAAGCTTCAAATACATTTAGAATTCCCTTAAACAATAACGAAGATGACATATTACAAATAGTGTCCCAAAATATGTCGTCGATTGTTGACGCTTACCTCAATTACTCTTATCAGTATCACAAAGTCAACAGTCAGGAGGCAAACCATTTGAAATCAATTTATTTAAAAACAAAGATTTTCTTATTTCAACAATCATTTCCAATGTCTCTTCTTCTGTTGCGGCCGGAACATCGAAATGAACAGTTTGTTCAAAATTTCTTGAAGCAAGTAATTAATAAAACAAGAGTTAAACCAAATAATATTACGAGTGACATACTAAGATTGATTTATAATGATTTAATTCAATGGACTGAGATAAAAATGGGAAGAAAAACGTTTGTACCTCAAGAGAGATACAAATCACATGAACGTTTACTTTTTGAATCTCCTCATGATTTAAATAACAATAGTCAATCATATAATGAACAGAGGTTAAAGGACAACGATGATTCAGAATTAAGTACACACAATGAAGAAACATTAAATCCCGGTATTTCATTTAGTTTTAATAGTATAAGAAATTTAATATCTCAAACTGATGTACACAATCCAAGTCGGAGTACAAATGCTAATTCTCAAATTAATCATGCAAGTTCAAATAATAATCTACATAATGGACCTGTTGTAATAGAAAATAATAATTCATCATCTGCGCTTACCCAATTGATAGATTTAACAAACAATAACCAAGAAAATATACAAATTAATCACAATAATATACAAAACATTAACAATAACAAGATTGCAGGTAAAACAAAATCTGACATTTACTTGCAAAAATCTCAAAATTCAGTTCCAAAAGACTCACAAAGTGTTGAAAATCTATCACCAGAAGAAACGGTAACTATTGCATGCTTTTAATTTAAAATTCTTGAATAATAAGTTAACTAAAATCTCATTATAATTTCAGCTTTCATCGACACATTTTTTTGCTCTTATTTCACACGAAGTTCTAAATTCCGAAGTTTCGGAAATGCCACACCGATTATGCCACGTTTGCGGCAAAGAAACAAAACTGATCTGCGTAGCATGCTACAAAACCTACTATTGCAGTGGTAATTGCCAGGTAACACTTTTGACAATCATTTCTATCCCGTTTTCATGTTTACTAAAGCTGCTTCGCCACCCGTTGATCTGGTTAGGGAGGGAAAGAGCTACCATTAAGGCGGTAGTTAGTTAGTAGTTTTTTAATTCTTGTCTCTATTCTGTTAAGAAGTTAATCTTATGTAATTTATTGTAAATTTTTTTAATCCAGCTTTTTAGTAAGTAAAATCATAAATCTATTGTCTCATTGTAATTTATGATATAGTACAATAATAAACGGAGATTTTCTAACTGGATTACAATAGCATTTTTTTTTAAAAATAATCTCGAATACAGATTATAGCGAAAATACTAGGGATCGTAAATTGTAATTATTTTAGAGTCGGCTTACTGTAAATACCTCCTAGTACCAAGACTTTTTAGTATTACCCTGTAAAATGAAATTTGATGTTTCAGCGTTTAGTCATAATATTAAGCTTTAAATATACCGCAATGAGCACAGCGGTTTTTTCATGTTTTGTTATAGTTATGGGCTATTATTATTTTTTTACAGAGTGCTGATTGGGAGTCGCATAAATCGACATGTTTTTAAACAAGCAAATAAATAAAGGATTATGACATTGTTGTTTGTGATAAATTGTACAAAGAAGAATAAAAAATACTTACGTACTTTTAGACTTTTGTTTTTTACAATTTCATCTTACTAATATATGTATAAATATATGTTATACATAAATGCGAAAGTTTAGATGGATGGATGTTTGTTAAGAGTTTGTAGCCTAAACGGCTGGTCGGAATTCAATGTAATTTAGCATAGACATAGAGGATAGTCTGGAAGAACACATAAGCTACTCAGTCCTATCTTTTTAATTCTACTCGGACGGAGTTGCGCGCGAAAGCTGTATGTACATAATTTATCCGACGTTCTTACGATGAAGGAAAACATCGTGATGAAACCTGCACACTTCGGCGATGAAATTCAAAGACATGTTTGAAGTCATCCAACCCGAACTGGCCAACCGTGGTTGGTTAAGGCCTAGTCATCCTAACTTAGGGTACGCTCCGAGCCCCTAAGTTGGGATGTATATTAAGTGGATGATGCCTTTTAGATAATAACATAATTGACACAAACGTAATCATACTTCGACACTCAATTACCGATTCTTTGACAAAGCTTCCGGACACGCGTAACATATTACTGATTTTATTTATATATATCGAGCATTACGTGCTTTATCCATAGTATCGTGGACTTCCTGTTAAAAGTAGGTATTTATTAACAGCACACATTCTAACATTTTATTAGATGACGCATCATAACTCATATCTGACCTGTGCTGCGCTCAGGCCATGGTCGATGATACAATCATAAATTTCCAGTAATTGTTATCGGCGCGGCGTCGGAAGTATGGATTTTTTTTGAAAATTGACTTCAAACTCATTTATAATTATCAGTACTATTAGTTTACGATTATTAGTGCTGATTTTACAGGAGCAGAATTATTATGTTTTCAAATGTTCCTATCATGAATTTCGCTAGCCTGACCTAGTTTGCTATCTTTTTTAATAACAGCAACATAAAAGCGTTTATGAATTGAAGGATTCTTTTGTAAGGTATATCGAAAGATTTGGACGATTTTTACAATTAACAAACGTTATTTATTTCTTATACCTACTAGTTCGTCACCGCTTCAGAATATCCAACATTTGTCGCAATATTCTTTGGCGAGCTTTTTAACTTGTGTGTAATTTGTAAACTACGTCTTAGCGTCGTAGCGTAAAAGCGCCTTACCGCGCAAACCGCCAACCAAAGGAACAACAAACGATCCCGCCCTTTAGCGGCTCTCTATGGCGGCACAGGATAAAAGCTGCCGAAACGAGACGAGGTCAGTGAACTGTTCCACGATTCGAGGACATATTGTTGATCGAAGGCTAAACGTTTCGTGATGCGAATGCAAATATGGCACGTGTATCTCGTTGTTTACGTCGTTAAGTCGCCAACAGTCTTATCAAATGAAAGAATAAAGACTTTCTTGTAACTAACGTTTTAGTTATTTGTTGACCGACATCCCAAAAGAAATAGGTACTCAATTCGTCTGTATGTTTTTTTTTTATTTGTTAAAGATTTGAGTACAAGCGATCACTTCTTCAGTTATCTTAATTGACTTGCTTTTTAGGAAAGCGAATTGAATATAAGTTTTGGCGAAGTAAATGCTATGCCTACGATCTGTTACACGTGCTGCCCTTGGATGCACCTCGCGGCACGTGTAACCTCGGATCGCCACGGCCGCACTGTCGTCGCGCGCCGCCAAAGGGCGGCATCCTTTAATGTTTCTTTGGCAGCGCGCTGCGAAGGCCGCGGTGTCTTTGATTTAGAATTAGTTTGAACTATCGTAAATAGAAATTGTTAAATATATTTGTGTCCAGTCTATTGAGATGAGAGAATTAAAGGCGTTCGTGTCTCCGAGAAGAACTTTTATTTTTACTTACAGTCCACTACAAAGAGCTTTGTTATAAATGTAATCGTCAAGTCTATTAAGATAAGAAGCTTTCATAAATACTTGTTTGTATCGGAGAAGTCGGCGCTATGTTGTAACATAGGACCGCCGAAACGATTCTATGTTTATGAACGTTGTTTTATGGAATCAATTTATTTTTATCGCTGCCTCCTTGATCTCTGCGTCCTATTCGTACGAGTACTAGTATATACATATTATGTATGTATATTTCGTTGTCATTGTCGGTATATGTGTTGAGGGTAGGTTAATAAATGATTAAATCGTTAGTCTGAATCTAAAGATGGTAGTTTTATTACGTGTTCCCGCCACTCGACATGGCGCTGCCGATAGGATTCGAACCTACACTCCCAAAGGGAACCTGATTTCGACTCGGAGGTTTTGTAGATTAACAGACTAACTATTTAATAATTTATTATTACCTACCCCAACATATATTTACATATACCGAAAGGCATCAGCAAAACATACAATGTGATGATAAAAAAATGTTTATTAACAACCATTAAAATATGGCATCATTTCATTTAACTTCATTATTTTTTTTATCTTAAGTAGATTTTACTTTCATTCGATTGAAATTGTGTCAAATATGTATATTTTGTTTTCATCCGATTTTGTGTTTTGGATTGACCTTGAATAAGCACGTGGCTTTTTTAACACGCGCTAAACACCTACGTACAAACAACACAAAGCAAGAATATTCTTCAGTCTATTTCGTATCGCCGGCCGTTCCCGTCGTCGACGTCTGTACTCTGTACCTCTTGTGTTTTAAAACACGTTTGAAAGAGTGTTATTATTAGATCATTTAAGTGAATGTGGTTATTTAAAAAAAATAGGTACTGTGTTTAACATTTAATACATTTATCTGTTAAAATTTTAGTAAAAAATTACAATATTTGAAAGGTGGATTAATTAAATTTTCGTAAGTATTATTTTTTTCTTGGTTATTCAATTTTTTAAATACAGCATTTTTTTGTTTTATTTTTTATACTATCAAATTCCTGGCAATAAAAATCAATTCGAAAAAAAAAATAGTTTAACCTGCATTGGAAATGATGCATTCACACTAACTTTCCAATAAAATTACCAGCTATTATATTATATTCTAGTAAATATTAGATAATGCACTTTGTTGTTATTAAGTTTTGCGATAACTACACCGGATATCTACATTCATTTGATAATCCATTTGTGGTCAAATATATTGTATATGTTAATTTCCTGTTGGACAAAACCTTTACTCTTTATCAAATAGCAAACAAGAACGGGGTCAAAGGCCACTTCTTGCATTCGTATTTTTTTTTCATCGCCCTGTTTTCGTGTTTTGAAGTGTATTTCCAACATAAGATCGTATTTTATTCACAGAGATATTTTTTCAAGTAGGTTTTATTTTATTCTACTTAATTATTGTAGAATGTGGTAAATCCGCTAATATACAATGATTGTTAAATGAAGCTTACATACCTTTAGACAATAATATAATCGTAGCAACGTAAATCTACTTCGATACTCAGTTTGTGGATTCCCGCCAAAATGGCGCGTATCCTTAATACTTCAGATTGACATTGACAGATGTCATAGAGACTGACATTTAGGCAATGATATAGTGTTGTGCGCCGCTTCTTCGTACGGTACCGATTTTTTCTAATCAACACCGTTAAGTATACCCACGACAAATGCTGCTGTAATGTATGTACCGTGTAGACTTTGTTTATTACTTAAATAAGCTATTACAAATTACTAATAATAGGTATTAATAATGACTAATTGTAGTTTACATATTTATTGTATATCCATTCATTAAATACATCATTATAATAATGATATGTAAATGGCACTGTAATGTCTAAGTACACTTTTTTTGTTTACAACTAATTTAGAAAATTATCAGTAATTAATAATGTTAATAATAAATAATTAATCTCGTTATTTATTTACTGTAATCCTAATGTTGTTATGCTATTTACATAGACGCCAGATGTACTGTTTACTATTCTCATAATGTATCTCAAATAGTTTCAATACCTATATTAAAGTCTCCGTTCGAATGTTAAGCCAGTCCGGTAGAAAGTACGTTACAAATAGCGCGACAGTAAAACCAACTTGTAGTCTGGTTATTATCATAAATACGTCCAGTGGTAAAATCTGTTGAGGTAGGACCCTTTCGTGATTTAAAATAGTTTTCGCATTTTTCCTGTTGGTTGAGCTAGTTAACCAATCAGGGAACGGTTTGTAATCTACAACACAGTGACGCGATATTGGGCTCTGTTGGCGCGGGCTTAGCTTATTCTTTAGTGGGCTTTGATTTAGATAGCAGACGCTAAAGCAAGTTTTCATGTTTCTAATAGCTAAGTTAATTTTTACAAATCCGAAAACATGTTGCCTTGAGACCATGACCAGGCGAACATTTAGAATGTAGTTACAGACGTCTTAAAAAAATTATGGACGCCTTCTAAGGTGTGGACTTAGGTAAGGTATAGTGATGTAAGTAATGTGATGCCCTCAGCCTTACTCCTCACTGTCCTCTGGGACGAGGGTCATCCTTCACTTAAATATTACCTACAATCTTAGTTTTGTTTTTTTTTTTTCAGGTTATATGTGAAACAATATGGATATTCAACAGTCTTCCGAAACAGGTGTGTATATTAAGTTTTTTTAATTATAATTATGTTATCTGTAATATTTTTATTCTAAAACAAGATGTGTATTATTATTTTTCAAAGATACCGCGTGTCTCATGAAGAAATATAACTTCGTGAAACCAGTCACCGTAACGGTAATTTATGAAGAAGACGAAGAAAAAGTTAAAGAGATCAACATCGATGACAGTAATAATAGTATGATAAATCAAGAAGGAAATAAACTTCCATTGAGATCAAACGCTTCAAAAAAGTCCGATGAAACTAATACGGAATACGTAAATTCTAAAATAAAAGATAACTATAGTATGTTACTTACATTAGCACAAAATATGTCCAACATAGTTAAAGCATATTATGATTACATACAAAGTCTTAAGCGAAACGCAAATAAAGCAGTTAATTTAAAATTTAAATATATTCATACCAAATCTGAAAATTATAGACGGTCATTTAACGTAACTTATCGTCTACTAGTGCCACACAAAGCTAATGCACGTGTAAAACAATTTTTAATACAAAAAATAATTGAGTTATCAAAAGTAAACATCGACTCCACATTTGTATTATGGCTTTATTATGATATAATATTTTGGACTGAAGGAATAAAAGATAAAATTTTAACTCAAAGTCAATTCGATAACGTTAATCAAGTCTGTAATTTACCATCACGTCTTTTTGGAAAGGCACAAAACGGCTCCAACAAATTAAAAAGAAAATCTGATCCAAACAATTGTTCAAAAGAAAACAAAATTACAATATTTTCGGCAGGGCCGAAAGGAAATGAAATAATTCTAAAAGTTGATGCACAATATGCACACACAGCATCACAGAAAAATGAATTTGAGAAAGTTAAAAATAGCGAACGAGAAAACTCAGAAAAGAACATTACTTCTATAAATAAAAGCACCAATTCCATCAATGAATTAAACCATCCTTTGCCGATCAACACGCAAAGTTCACAAACACATTTTGTAAACCTAAGCAAAGGATTCAACAATGATAACTTAAGCAACGTGAATAACGTAATAACAAACGATGTAGATCCTTTTATTAGAAGACTTGAAAATATAGATAATAGTAATAAAGTTGCACCACAAATTGATAATATAATAGCCCAAAATCGCCCAAATCAAGAACAAGATACTATGCCAAGAGAAATTGGCGAAAGTCATTCTGTTTCGTTTCAAGCTCTAATTGATGATATGGTAATTTACTATTTAATATTATGCAATAACGATCTGTATATTAGCTAACTGCTCTACTAATTTATATTACATTTCTTACAGAACTCAGCAATTTACTCTCAAACTTCCAAGACAGAACAAAGAACTTCACATAATATTAGCGTACCAAATTTTTTTCCAACATACAGAACAAACAACGGTATATCAACGCAGGATAATAGAAATAACCTTACAACAAGCCAAAATCAAATACAAACACTGAATCAAAATATTTACCCACCTCAAAATACTAATTCAGACAATATGGACAATTGTCCTACAAATATGCCTTTGCAATATAACAGTGGAACAAATCATTTACCTTTAAGAACAAACTTACATTACCCTATGATTACCATGAATGAGAATATCAATCAAAATTATGAACGTAATTATATAATTACATCTAATTATCAAGAAAACTACTGCAATAGATCTTTGGTAGATCAAGGACAACAAACCAATAAGCAGTACCTTGTCCAAAATACCATTTCAAGAGACAGCGGCTTTACAACACCAGTTTCATACAATTATTCACCTCCACAAATGGTACGATTTATTTTATTTTTTCTTCTACAAAACCAAGGTGTATTAATCAATTAATTCAATAAATTAAAAATCCACAGAACCTTGCCGCTTTCCAAGATCGTTCAAATTGGTTCAACATTTAACATACGTGGTTGGAAAAAAAGAAATGTCGTTTATTTCTTCTTACTCAAAATGGTATGCTATAATAATATTTGTTTTAGAGTTCCCTTTCTGAGCTAACATCTACTCCAACCTGATCCTTTGCAAACATATATTTTGGATTGCAGACGGATTGTTCAAGATGTTTTTACTTTTATATATTTTATCCTATTTCCCGCAAAATGATAACACTATCATAACAAAGAAATGTAATTTAATCGTCATGTTTAGTCAGTTGCACATTTATACTATAAATTCTAATTAGATTATATTCTCTTGTTTCCAGATGTCGAAGGAATTGTATCAAAATCGAGCTGTTAAATCTCAAACAATGCAAACAGTTGAATCCAAATTTTGATTATCACAATTGTTTTGTTTAATATCGATTTTATTTATATTGTAAATGAGAAAAACATCATTATTGTCAATAAACATTTATAGTAAACTATATTTTTTTCCAACCTAGTTTCTTGATGTATTTTTTGTTTTCCCATTTGCACCAACAAGTTTACTGTTTTATGAGGTTTGGTGAAATTCTTCATGATTTTGCAGACTGGGCAGTTTGTAAGGCATACCGTACCGGTCAGATGCACATGGCGAGGATCTTTAGATTCATATGATTTGACGAATTCTGTATCGAAAGTAGCTGCTCTCAGACCTGAATCCAGTGCTATCCTATAAAAGACGAGTTCTCTCTGGGCCTCTGGTCACTTTCCATGGTCACTTTTTGCGTGGCGTTCGTACGCGGCAGTTCTCGTCGATAAGATAAGCACAGAGGCTCCGTACTCAGTACATTTTAGTCGTCACCACGGAACGTTCGATATCTTTACTTAATGTTTGTTTTAAAGTAATTAACAAGTATTGCTTATATGAACGTTCGTCTATTATTCTTTCTTAAAAGTCATTCATATCGAAATATCTAACAATATAGTATCGTACAGGTTGAAAAATAGTTAAAATATGTATAAAGGATGTTGCCTTATTCAGGAACTAAAATAAACCCGGCAGCTTATTATACGAACAAATAGACGTCTTCTTATTTTATCATATGATTTTTTCTGCTCATTGTGATGGAATATTACTTCTATTGAAACTTTTAAGCATCTTTGACCAAAAAGGAGATAAAACAACGAGAGATACTTACTGTTGAAGGTCGTTCTTCATTTATAGGTTTACTCAATGGACTTCACAATGGGGAATACGCGTGGTTTTTTTAACGTTTCTACTCGTTATAAAATAACCATAAAAAATTATTCAAAAAAATTCAACCATTGAGCTAAAAAAAGAAAATTATGACCATTTTCGTAGGACTAGAGACAGGCACAGTTGGCTTGAGACACGTGACGTCATTCGTCACATTTCGCTCAGATGTCACTTCGATGTAAAAAACAAAAAAGTATTTCATTAGTTCTCAGAGTTATCAAAAGTTATAAATCGATTAAATTTCATATAACTTTCTAAAAACATATAAAAACGCGTTATAAACAACGTTAAATCAGTACAACCATGAGAGAATAGATAAGACACTTGCTTCGACCAATAGCGTTTCTTTTTAGAATTTGCGAGGAAATTTTAAAAATCCACTTTTAATAACTAAATTTCGCTACTAAATTACATTGTATTAAAAAAAATCTTTGCAGGTATGTTTTTATAGTAATCATGTATACTTAAAAAAGTTAGGTCCACTTTGGCGTCATATGCATATTGCCTGGGTTATTTGTCACTAAGAGCGGATGAACACACACAAACAGACAGTTTTTTTCTTAGTTGGAAAGCATGGAGTATTTATAACGTATTTGTTGAATTATGAAAATAATCAAAATGAAATTAACTCTAACTAATAATAATAGCACTTAAACAGTACGTACAATTTAATATGTACTTGTATCTACACATTATCTGAATGTTACATATATGTTAAATTTGAGAAAAACCGATTATCCTATTTGGTAATTTTGCCAGGGTTTTTTCCGAAATTATTCCCACCTTAGAGTTTTTTCCGGATAAAGTCCCATCTCTAGTGTTTAGAATATAATGGTTATAACTTATGACAGCTCACTAGCGACCCCATTCTGCCAACTACAAAATATATACTCTATACTATAGCATACAGATTATAAAATTATAAGGTGACAGAAGACGAAAAAGGTTTGACAGGTGATTTTGACATTTGTTAAAAGATTGCGAATTGCATTGTATTGCAAATTACACTGTATTTACACTATTAAAAAAATATTTAATATTACTTTATTGAAAATACTTAATTCCATTAATATTGTAACAATTTATTTCAGTAATAACTATAATGTGACACAGAGTTAAAATGTTATCAACAAAAATACCGCCGACTTAGTTGTGTACGCAAAAATGTTATCATTTATTTTCTATTTTTCACACAATTTTAGTTTCTGCTCTGGTTTAAGGAGCAAATACATAGTTTTAAAAATGTGGTATGCAGCTTTAGTTCGATTTATTCGAAGGAGATTAGTGTTGGGCATCATATTTGCTTCTTCACTGACTTACTGTATTGTGAGTTTCTTAAGAGAGGTAAGTATTATATTAAACAGTGCATGGGCTATGTACAGTTGTTTTGTTTAGAAGTGTATAATAAACTTTGTATTTGAATGATGATCTTCCATCGCAGGGGAGCAATAAAAACATGGTATACCAAGATGTCTCAATAGAGCAAAAGCCGTTTATTTGGAGAACCCTACAAGAACATAATGATACAAATGATACGAAAATTTGTAGAAATTCTGTCCAAGGAAAATCTGTTGTTGTAGATGACAGAGGTAAGTTCAATCAACTATATTAACTATAATTATTGTATATGAAATAAATGGTGTACATTCTTTAATAATGTTATTTAGGTTATGTTTGTCAGCGGAGTGACATATTAAAAAATGGTTGTTGCAATCCTGATATAGAGACGACAACCAGATACAGTTGTGAATCATGTAAAGATAACAACTGTTGTGTTATTTATGAGTACTGTGTATCCTGCTGCCTAGATCCTAGTAAGGTGAGTACAGCATAAACATAATTCAAAGGCATATTCTCTACCTATTGATACTTAGGGTATTATAACAGATCTATATATTCATTGTTTTAAAAAAACTTGATTCATGTGGAATTTATGACTACTAAAGTTCCAGTCATCATTCTTACTTTAGCTTTCATAAAAACCTGAAAATCTATACTTCTATACTAATGTTACAAAGAGGAAAGATTTGTATTTTTGTATGTATTGAAGTAAACTTTAACAGGGCCAATTTTAAAAACTCTTTCACCGTTAGAAAGATAATTTATCTTTGAGTAACATTGGCAAGATTTTTTAATTTTATGTGGGCGAAGTCGCAAGCAACAGCTAGTATTAAATAAAGCATAAGAGTACCAACTGTTCATGCATGATACCTTGTCCCAGAGAAACAGATTTATGTATATTACAGTATTTTATATTAAAATGAATAAAACGCCTTAAAAGGAAATCTCTATTTTCAGAGAGATATGCTCGAGTTGGTGCTATCTAAACTATCAGCAGAAGAGAATGTATTGTTCCGTTCATTGACTGATGACTATGAGTTATGTTTGACGAAATGCCGTACAAGTTCCCACAGTGTCCTACATGAGAACTCATACAAGGACCCTGCTCATAAGCATTGCTTCGGTGACGAACCACCCGGTACCAGAACGCCAGACTAACAAATCGCATAACAAAGTTAGTGAAAATATCTTGACTGACCATATTGACTCAAGGCATTTTAATGCTTCCTACATTAATATTTGTAACTCTGATAAAATTTCAAGAAAGGGATTTTATTCCATTCTCACATCTCGGAGTGTTATAGAGTGCAGTTAGATTTTTAATACTTTAAGTTAACTATTAGAATGCATACACAACTTTGACTAAACCGTCGCACAACTGTTCAGTCTCGGTTTCATTCCTATCAGCTTATATGAAGGTACAGTTACATTACTTAATTTTTGTTGGGCAACTAAAAAGTGAGAGCGTCAGTGTCTCAAGGTTTAGGCACTTGACATCTACAGGTTCGAATCATGCCATGCTCCAATGTGATTTTCGATTTTCATATGTACATTAGTTACCTGAAGTTCTTATGGCGAAGGAACATTGTGAAGCAACCTGCACATATCAGCGAAGAAATTCAAAGATGTGTGAAGACAACCAACCTGCAGTGGGCCAGTGTGGTTGACTATGGCCTAGTCACCTATTACTTAAGGTAGGCTCCATACTCATTAGTGGAAATGTATCATGAGCTGGTAATGATGATGATGAACCAAATATTTGAATTGGCTGTGAAACAATTGACAATCACACAATAGTTGTGTTATAGTTTAGTCAAAGGTGTACATCCACTCCAGGTTTCTCTCTAAGGTGTCTTAATTAATTTTATTTAAAAATTAAATTAACATCTAATAAATCTCTCAGATATACATTTACATTAGAGATTAGTTCTTAAATTATTTTTAATGTTATGTAGAATTTTAAATTATATATGTCAAATTAATAAAATAATACATAGAATATTATAACACAAATTGTGCTTTTAAAAAGTAGACTTAATAAAGCAGATAAAATCTTATAAAACAATTGTTATATGTACAATTTTTTGAGAAATAACATTGGCTTGTGATATACAGAATTTTGTTAGAAATACATAGAAGTACTATTAAATAATGTAATATTTTAAAGGTTGATTATGTGTTATGCATTATTAATGGTGCTAAGTTGCTTGTTGAAGAACAAAATAATGAACAAAATAACTTTGACTTAAAGAAGTAAAAAACAGCTTTGTATAAATTGTATCTACTCAGTCAGCTCCTTAAATATGTATGTACCAAGCTACAGAAACTTGTTTACGCTTTTTGTTTCAATTACATTCAAATTCCTGTTTATCCATATATTTGTGACCATGTATACATGTGACTGAAAAGTGCATACATGTTTTTGAAACCGAAAGCCTATATAAATTTCCAAAGTTTTGTAAATCCATACTAATACTATAAAGAGGAAAGATTTGTATTTGTGTATTGGAATAAATCTAAAACTGCTGTTCCTATTTCAAAAAATCTTTTACCAATAAGTAGCTATGTTATCACTGAGTACTATATGTTATGTTACAATTTTTAAACGCAGACGAAGACGCAGGCAACAGCTAGTGTATACATATTTATGCAGCTGACGTATTGCCACCTAATTTACTGAAAATTATGTAATTATAATAAGGGTAGCCAATGAAGTAAGGTCCCATGTGTCGATGACTGAAAATGTTTAAAAATTTACCATAAAAGTAACATTATTTAGAACAGGCTATACATAGATTTCTCTGTGGGTAAAAAAATCATTCTCATATCATTAGTATTATAGAGAAAAGGCTATTGTTTGGTGTATGGGATTTATTTATTGTAATGTAATGTGCTACAAAGGTATGTAAATGAATGATGTAGTAATTTAAAATTCGTTCTGATAAGAAACTGTGGCCTTGAGACTATTACGCATTTATTTATAAGATTAATGTTAATATTCAAGTTATTTGTCTTTAGTATGTTTGGATATTTTACAAGCACTTATTTGCACGCAGCGTAAACAAGATATACAAGTAAAATAGATAAATTACAATTTTTTTAAGTCATATTTTCAAACACGGCTCCACTGTACTTTCTTTTTATGTATATTTTCAACAAAAAATATAGGATAGCTTTATATAACAAAGTTATTTCGCTGCGTGCTTTATTCGTAGTGCCTTGAGTTTGCTTGTTAAAAATTATATTGATAATACTAAAATAAAACACCAAAAATAGTTTTAGATTTTAAAATAATGAATAGATATAAACAGTGATTTTTTTAAACGAAATTATTTGTCAATTAAATTTTCTAGTTTTAGTGACGACCAAAACATTCTTATCTGTACACACCGATGTCGAAGTTATTTCAACTATTAGGGCTTGTCCCACCACTGACTGATAGAGGCTCACATAGCTAAAAATGACGTCACTATCAGACAAGAACAAAATCCGATATTTCCATCGCATATTTTACACATTGGATTGTTATCAGACAATTTACAGTCTGATGGGTCAGGCTCTTAAACTTTATGTATTAATACGAAACCAAATTTTATTAGGCCCAGTAACATTTTAACATAATTTATGTGAATTCTGTATTTTTAAAGGATTAATCGTAATTAACGGTGCTTCAAAAATAAATCTCTGTCACAAACGTAACACTAAAAATGAAAAAAAAGTTAACTGAGATGGTACTCCCGAAAGATGTAAAATATTTCAGTAAATATTTTCCTGATTATTGAAAGTAATTAAATTATGAGCATCGGTCGTTTAGGGGTGGCACTTCACTGGGTATCTGCATGTTCTAAGTTCGAATTATGCAATATATAAACATGTTTTTCGAATTTAATATGTACATTTGCCCGAAGATCATACGGTGAAGGAAAACATCGTGACGCAACCTGCACTGAGTCAGCCCTAAATTAGGGTAGATATTACTAAAATATTGCTTATAAAATATAAAATACTTATTAAGGAACTCAGAGGGCTTGGATGTGAATAATGTTAACAATACTGACGGACCATTTTCTGTTTTATGAAAAAAAACTATGTACCGTTATTCTAATATAAAACGACTGAATCGAAAAGTTTATTCATGTTACCAGATTCAGGGTTATACTTAATGTAATGTTATATAGATTTATAGAATTTGTAATAAGTTACTAATTTTGTAATAAAGTATTTTTTTAAAAGAACTTTTTAATTTTGACCTTTTTGTTGTTTACATTTTCAGTATAGTATTGTGTGTGGTAAATATTTAGCGACCCGCAATTTCTGTCTTCTAAAAAAATTTTTTAATTCCTTCACAACGAACATCTTATACCCGTTTCGTTTCCAATACGAGTATTTTCCGTGTACCATTAGTACTCATAAAGAAGAAAAAAACTTACCTATTCATTGCTAGTGTTTTCTAACGAGCCAGCGACTGACAACGTGCTCGACCGTTTATACAATTTTGCGTTAGCGCAATGGATTTAGTTTAGTCGGTATTCGACTCTCGGTACAAATCGTCGTCTCCTCACAATGGTTTGGTGAGCTCCAATACGAAAGTATTTGTTTGTTTTTTTTATTATTGTGCTATTTAGTGACAGTGCTGTGAGTGTATAGTTATGTGACTTTTATATTTATGTTTTAATATTGCGTTGATACATGTTTTTTGTTAAAATTTTAACAGCCTTCGCAAGAATTGTACAGCCAGACCTGTTTTATGTCATCATCAAATGCTTACATTATTAATTTTGCATCGATTTCTTTTTCTTTTTCTATATTTTGTTACGTGGCCATGTTTTAAACAATTTTAATTCTTCGTTCATTTTATTAACATAAGTAAATATTTTTATATATCTACCGGTAATTCCAAAACATTTTTGTTATATATAAAAATACATATTTTCTATATTTATTAAAATTAAATTCACAAAATAATTAAAAGTTTAGTATACGAAAATGATAATATTTTAAGCGGAAATAAGTCTAAACTAAGACGTAGCACAATGTTGCATGATTGCAACTAAAAGTCAAGCATTCGATTCCAAGCGGACGTATTTTGGCGCTCAACTTGTCACTATATTTTTTAATCCTCGAATATACTCTCAAGAATACTTTGTATAAACGTTAACTTCCTTCCTTCGTATGACATTGCTATAGCCGGAAACAGTGAGAATATAAAACACGTGTGTATTATAAACCATCGAGATATGAATAGTATTTTTAAAACAATGTAAATTCTGATCTACGTACTTCATTGTTTCTATAAAATATTAAAAAAAAGAGTATAACTCTTCACATATCAATTTTCATTAATGAGTAGTCATTTCTCATGAAGAAGTTATCGTTTCCTTGAATATCCAAATCCAGGATAAGCCACTGATCATTGGTAGGATTAAGCTAATTTAAATTGAGGTGTATACTTCAATTAACTTGTGTAATAAGTGACACTTGTATCCACTTATCATATCGATATGATACGACCACATGAAGGTATACAAGGGCAATGACACGACACTTATAACCTGTTCCATTATGAGTTTTGCGTACTTTTTTGTCAGAAATTTGAATACATCCTAGATTAAATCGAACTCATGTGAGACAAAATAGGTATATGTTCCAAACCGTAAAACGTACCACGTAATCTAATTTGCTTTGGTTTAATTACAATCCCCACAATTAAAATAACAACTTTTGCTTAGTCTGTTCCATAATGACCAAGTAATTGGAAAACAAAAATTATTTAACGAATATATGTAGCTAATTCAGATCTTGAACATTGTGGAACAGGCCTTTGGTCAACAATAAACATCTTTAATACCTATTTGGTATAATTCATGATAAAGATTAGTTCTGGCAATAAACTTGCGGAATTCCTAAGTTTTTAATGTTTAGATACGTAGTTGATTGTTTTTTTTTTTAAAGATTTTCATCTAAGATAATAATGTCGACCTATTGTAGAAATATTTTTCTAATTCGATTTATCAATGATTAATTATCTTTTTATAATGATTAATTATAACGATAGTGTTTCGATTAAATTGATCACTTAATAAATAGTTAATACAAAGCTGATTATTTAAAATGTCAATTGCTTCTTTTTTATCTATAAATCGGCGAATGATTGATATGATTAGCTCATGTTTAAAAAAAGAATAAAGTCATCAATCTCCTGGATAATAATTTGTCGTGAAAGTGCTTCGTCAATAATGTAATGTGTTTTGCAACTACTAAAATGCAAAACAAGTCTACTTTTTATATAAGTAACCGTTAAAAAAAAATCGATACTCTATTCTACTTTATGCCAGGATCACACTTCGCCAGTACAGTCAATCAGTTGCGACTGCCTATCATAGATTGTAGGGACTCACTGGTGCCAGTTTGGCGTTTGCTAGTCAGTTGATTGATAGTTCTGTTATATATCACTAGCTGTTCCCGTGCGACTTCATCCGCATATAATTATGAAATATTTTTATTTATTGTTTACATGTGTCAAATTATTAATTGCAAATGTCAAAATGACATGACGATGGCAACCTTGCTTCCTTGATGTTGGCAGCAACTTATGGTCTCTTTCCCACATTAGGGTTTTCCAAAATATTTCCCCCCTGCGTTTAATGGCGTGAAAATATATAGCCTAAAGCGTGACGTAAGTGTAGAGCTTTTTATTTAAAAAAAATGAATTCTTCAAAAATATGCTGTAATTGCTGACATCTTAGGCAACAAAGAGGTGTGTGTTTACGTTTTATTATAATAGTAAGTGAGTAAGTATAGATAAGTAATAAAGTATAGATTACTGATCAACTGTACTGGCCAAGTGAAAAATTAAAGTGTACCTACTATTTAAGATTGTCGTATACATATATTTTTATGACTACATAAGACTTAAAAATAGTTCTCACAATATGACAAACTTATCAAAGTATTAAATCGGATTTGTCGTACACGATACGCTACCAGCTATGTCAACTGTCTCGTAAAGATAGTATTTTGATAACCACATTTCCATTACAATTTAAATACCGCTATATAATTTATCTTGAGACTTTGATAAATATTTTAATATACTCAATAAAATGTCGGCATTCAATCTTAAATATGACGAGATAACAAGCATAATCATGCTGATAGAAGATAAATGTGTTCGTACAGATCTTGTAAACTAAATATAAATTCAACTTGTAATGTTATAAATTCTAATGCCACATAATCTTACTTCTTACTAATATTATAAATGCGAAAGTTAGATGGATGGATGAATGTTTGTTAGCGTTTGTAGCCTAAACGGCTGAACGAATCTCCATGAAATTTGGCACAGGTTTAGGGCAAAGTCTGGAAGAACACATAGACTGCTTTTTATCCCGGGAATAGTTACGGTTCCCGTGGGATTCATTAATTTAGTTTTTTAATGTTTACTCGATCATTCTACAACGGTTCAACATATCTTATTGAAATTCGGCACAGATATAAAAGAAAGTCTGGAGTACATATGGGATAAGCTTCGTCCCCGAGAAATTTCCGGTTCCCGAGGGATACGCAGCTTTTTGTAATTTATATAGTTCGTATGTTTTCTAATACCACGCAGACGAAGTCGCGGGCAACAGCTCGTTCCAGAATTAAACAGAGATCTGTACTAAAGATCAGAGCTAGATTAGATTGTTAAAGACCGGAACTTACATACTCGTAGATTTCAGATGTGTTTACACGCAAATAAATCGGTAGCTAGCTTGTAATTTCATAATTATTTTTTTTTGTTTTCTATGGCTTTAGCTTAGTATCTGCCAATGAAGATGGAAGGTCTTAATAAACTTGGTTTTTTATCATTATCAAACAATTTATTATTACAGTTTCTCATATTACAAAACCTTTGCAGGTTATAGTTTATGTTACAAATACTTTTCTATTAGTTATCGTTCAACTAATCGTTTATCTCGACAGAGGTGTCTACATTCCTATGTATGTAAATATGGCGTAGAAAATAATAGATAAAAATTCTATCTATGCTAATACAAGCTGATGGCCGCGACTTCGTCCGTGTGGTATTAGAAAACATACAAACTATATAATTTACAAAAAGCTACGTATCCCTCGGGAACCGAACATTTCTCGGGGATGAAGCTTATCCCATGTGTACTCCAGACTTTGTTTTATACCTGTGCCAAATTTCAATAAGATGTGTTGAACCGTTACAGAATGATCGAGTAAACATTAAAAACTAAATTAATGAATCCCTCGGGACCGTAACTATTTCAGGGATAAAAAGTAGCCTATGTGTTCTTCCAGACTATACTCTAAACCTGTGCCAAATTTCATGGAGATCCGTTCAGCGGTTTAGGCTACAAACGCTAACAAACATCCATCCATCTAAACTTTCGCATTTATAATATTAGTAAGATTAGTAAGAAGTAAGATTACAAAGAGGACAGATTTGTATTTTTGTATGTAATGAATTAATTCAGGTCTTAAACGCGAGTGGGGCGATTAGGTATCGTTTATGCGGCCTGCCCGGGCGTGATATGTCAACTAACTATAATTGTTATACATTACATTTGCATAATCTTGTAATTATGTACCAATCTTTAATAAATCGCAATTAATATTTTATTATAGACCTCCACTTCCGCTTCCGTTAACCTCCGCTTTTGCAGAGGTGAAGCCCTTCACCTCCGCTTCCGCATTCGCTTCTGTTACAACCCTAATTTAAGTGCATATTTGAGAGTATCCCGTAACCTAAAGATGACATTGTTATTAAAATCGGAAAGTGTTCTAAAACAGATACCAATGTACTATACTATAGTTTGTAATGTGTTCCACATCACGCTTTAAATTACATAATAATAGTCTTTTTATTTCTAAAGCAATTTCCACAATAGTTACAGAGTTGAGACAATGTGCCTTTATCCGTCCACCTAGGCGTTTTAACGATTCATTATTCTTCGTTATGGTTTTACAAATATAATTTTATACATTCAATTGTTGCTTCTTGTGGTTTATACTATTCAAAAAATCTATACATGTAATAAAATTGGAGTGCCTGTTTATAATATCAAAAAGAAAAATTCCAGATTTCGAGAAGATAATGTACTTGCGTTGCTGATAACGAAAATCACATTTAAACATTTTTTGTCTGTCTGTCCGCAAGCTTTGTTCCGGGTAATCTCCGAAACAGCTGAGTCGATATCGATCGGACTTTCACTGAAGGGTAGCTGACATAGACGGGCATGTTATAGGCTACTTTTTTTTTAAATTACGCGCTGTCTAAATGGCGTAACGGGGAAGTTTGCGGGCGATAACTCGTAAATAATAAATACCACTAACTGTATTCAGTGGCTAAGATCCACTTTGGGTGGCTACGTCAGCGGAGTGAGCAACGCCAGATCCACTCTTGGGCAATACAGTTTGTCAGTAGCGCAAACCTGACATGTACTGTGAACTCTCACTGGTGTTAGCTAGTGTTTGCATAATACCAGTGGTATGCTAGCGATGTTAGTGACTGACGGAAACGAGCCATTTCATGAAACATATTTCCAGAAAACCAAATTTTTTTCATAACGTAAAATCATACCATTGTGCCGCGTATTGTTACTTCGAAACAAATCATCTTAGTCACAAATACTTGCGTGTGTTTTGATAGCAATATAAATTGTTCTCGTAAGACAGACAGGTGTATGAGAAATACCATTCACAAGTAGAAACGGGTTTAATACCATTGTTACTGTATTTGTAAACAGACTTCGCAGTGTAATTTTAATTGATTGAAAAGAGCTTGTTATCCTATATTCATTTTGATTCATTGTAATTTTTTAAGCTGGTTATATAAGAAAAAATTGAGTTGCAAAATTAAAGTTAATTTTTTTTTTAAGTTCATTAACGATAAGTTGAGCGTAAATATTTACAAAGTTTTAGGTATTAATTTAAAAGTGTACATATGTAGACGTTTTATTTAAATTATAATTTGATACTATCCTTTTCTTTACATCCGTCTCATAGTGTTATGTTAAACTACAAAATGTATATTCAGTATTGTATTGTATTTGTTTAAATAGTTGTATTCATTATCTTGATAAAATGGTTTAAAAAAAGGTTATCAAAGACATAATGTAAGTCACCCGCTATAAAATTACTGATTTACACGACCTTTAACCTTGATCCTAATTTGCTTAAACATAATTGGTACATTATTGACAAAATTGAGGTCAAAAGATTGACTAAATATGTGACCATTAGTCAATTGTAAATAACTTACAGCCGTACTAAAATGTGTACTATTAAAACAGTAAGAATAGCATGTACTGTCATACTAGTATTATAAATGCAAAAGTTTAGATGGATGGATGGATGTTTGTTAGAGTTTATAACCTAAACTGCTGAACGTATCGCGACGTGGCATAGATAGTGAAGTTAGTCTGGAATCTGGAAGAACATATTATACACTTTTTGTTTCTTTTCCATGCAGACAGAGTCGCGGTCAAAAGTTACTTACATTTTAGCAAATAAATTTTGGTAAAATTCAATACAATATAATGCAGGCAGCCATTAAATATGACACTCAACCAGCCTGTCACTTATTACGACGCATTGACAGACAAAATCTCTTGCTCCCAAACAAAATATTGGGTCGGAATTTTGTTAAATTTCATATGTATATTTATCAATTAATAACTAAGTGGACGGTATGATCGACAAGGGGATGAGGTTGTACTGATATCTTGGTACAAGTAAATATTTGGTGGCAGTGTGTGGCGGTCGCGGCGCTCTGTGGTGGTCAGCGTGTTGGCGGCGGGAGTGGTCGGCGCGCTGGTCGCCCTGCTGGTGCTCCAGCCTTGGAACACCAGCGACCGCCCGGCCCCGCGCTACACGCAAGCCGCTGTCGCCGCTAATGGCTACGAATGCGCATCTATTGGACGGTCAGTATTTACTATTTTCAACCCAGATACAATATTCGTATCTACAGACTTCATTCCGGTTATAAATTTAAATATAGTTTAAAATCAACAATACATTTTTTTGATCAATGGGTTTTAAATCATTTATTACAATTTAGTTTCAATCTTTATTTTGGATAATTGCGGTACATTTCTTTACCCATGCTAGGATATGACGAAATCACATCATTATGTATACGTCTAGAAGGCAGGAAATACCGAAGGTCATCGTGTAACGTAGAATTATAACTAAACTTCATCTCCTAATAGTATCTCCAATGGAACTATCATATCTAGTTTTTTTAAAATGTATTATTAAGAATTTAAATCATAATGAAATATAAATGTACGTGTTTGTTATTATTATTCTAGTAAGATATTAGAGAAGAACGGTTCTGCGGTCGATGCGGCGATAGCGACCCTGTTCTGTGAGGGTCTGGGGTGCGCGCAATGCATGGGCCTGGGGGGCGGCTTCCTGGCCACGGTGTACGACGCGAGCACGGGCCGGGTGCGGGTGTTGAACGCGCGCGAGCGGGCACCCGCCGCCACCTACGAGGAAATGTACGACAACAAGTCGTCCACGGTGGGCGGGCTGGCGATAGCCGTGCCCGGAGAGCTGCGCGGCTACGGCGAGTTGTATCGCGAATACGGACGGCTGCCGTGGCGCGAGCTGGTACGCCCCGCGGCGAACCTCTGCCGCACCGGCCACCGCGTCAACAACTACATGGGCCGCGTCTTGCGATCGTACAGCGACAGGATCAAGGCGGAGCCCTCCATGAGGTATACAATTGTTTAGCTCATGTTGGCTCACGACTACACCTAGGTTTCTACGCTCTCGCTACCTGTCATTCAAATTTTATTCTTAGTTTTTTTTTAAAGGTTCATCGTTTTCGACTTTGTTTACTTTGCTAAAGTAAGCCTTTGTATGTAGGAATGGTACAATTCTAAAATATTAAAATTTTAAGTAGGACATTTTATCTCTAAAGTAATGACTAGTTTGATAATACATATAACCTGTTAAGCGTGACGAAACTAAAAATATTTCATTCATTACTATTTCACGGTCTTTTTTTATGGTACGAATAGCCTTGGTTACGGTTGAAGTAAAATCTTTCTGTATATAGCCGTGAAGTCCGACTATACAGTTTAAAAAAATAGTAACTATTAGGTGCTTGGGCGCCAGAGATTCCAAACTTTTCTTAGAGAAAATTTACTTGTTTTGTGACCTCTCTAAAACTACATTAAAAAAAGTATCAGATTAACACACGCTAATGAAGAAGTGACAATTATATAATTAGTCAATAATGTCTTGTAGGGAATTGTACGTGAACCCAGAGACGGGGGAGGTGTGGAACGAGGGCGACATGATCAGGGAGCCGACGTTAGCGCGGACTTTGGATATAATAGCGGAGGAGGGCCCGGAGGCGATACACAACGGCTCCCTAACGGCCGCGCTCGTAGAAGACATTCAAGGATTTGGTGGTATCGTAACCGAGGAAGACTTGTTCGAATACAGGTGAAAAACGCTAAATTGCCTCATAAAATTTCAATTTATAACTAACAGAAACAATATCTGTAATAATTATAGACATTAAGATTAAGAACTCGTAATCAGAGCCAGAAAATGTTAAAATATCACTTCATTCAATTTGAAAATGTTCACTATTTGCCTTATTGAGTTTCCTCGATAACGCTTTCATACCAGCTTCCGCCCGCGACTTCGCCTGCGTGGAATTTTAAAAAAATTAAAAAAAGACCTATGCCAAATTTTAAGATTGTTTACATTTGTAGTATTAGTAAGGTGACAATTTTTGATTTTTAGGGCGGAATGGCAAGAACCAATCGAAGTGCCCATATCGGACGACTACACTCTGTATACGACGCCACTGCCGGGTTCCGGTTCGGTGTTGGCCTTTATACTGAACATGCTGCGAGGATGGGTGGGCGCCGATACGGAGGCTCCGGTCGAGTCCAACCTCTACTGGCACCGTATAGTAGAGACGTTCAAATACGCGTACGCAAAGCGAACAGGCCTCGGGGACCCTTCGCGCTTTAACCTGCCTCACTCTATACCTCAGGTAAATATTTTTGTTTTTTTTTTTATTCCAACGTCATATTAAAAATAACATTCGCCTCTTGAATTATATTATTCCTATTGTATTTTAACATGCGAAAATTAAACAGAAAAAATGTGTCATATGTTTCCTTCTAAAACCGCATCCAATTCAATGTGAAAACTGCGGTTGATTACAATTGTAGAATAACTTTATATGACTAAGTTGTTGGATATTATGGTACAATTACTGTGGCATAATAAAACTTTATAAATTGTGTTACTCTTAGTAATCGGACTTGTTCGTATACAATGTAATATTGATCGGTTGTACGTGAGTCTCTATAATAGTTTGAAGCTCTCGTGTTATCTGGCACCGTTCAGCGCTTATTTGTAACTGTATCCATTTCATGTTAATAACCTTAATTGTGTTCAACTAAATACTGTTTAATGGTATGTTAATGACAAGTCGTGATAATGAGATAGTCGGAGACAGTAATCATTATTCGTCATTACACGCTTGTCAGTACAGAGACTAAAGATCGGAAAATGTAAAATTGTGTTATAAGGACTAATATTTAATTATTTTTACTTCTTTTTCTTTTACTTAATATCATAAATGCGAAAGTTTAGATGGATGGACGTTTGTTAGAGTTTGTAGCCTATACGGCTGAACGGATCTGGAAGAAATTTGGCATAGATGTAGAGCATAATCTGGAAGAAGACATAGGCTACTTACTTTTGTTTAATAACATGCGGACGGAGTCGCGGGCGAAAGTTACTTCGAAGTATATGAATAACATTGTGTTACAAACAAACTGTTCAGGTTTCTTGTATTTTGTTGACGTTTCACAGTTGGAACGTAATCTGTCGTCGCGCGAGTGGGCGGAGTCTCACCGCGAGCTTGTAGACGATACGCGCACGTTCTCTGAGTGGCAGCACTACGGCGCGCTGTTCGAGGGCGCGAACGACCACGGCACCGCGCACGTCGTCGTCATAGCGCCCGACGGCAGCGCCGTCTCCGCCACCAGCACCATCAATTATATGTATTCATATTTTTTTCTTTAAAAATAAAGGTTGTACATTCTTTATGCCAGGCTTATGATAAATGCAGTTAGATCCTTTGTCTTATAAGGTCATATTGAGGTTATATTGAAATTACGTAATAATATCTGAAATCCATGTTAGATTCTTAAGATCGATACGATAATTGCTTTAATTACAATGTACGAATCGGAGTATAAAAATTATTCAATCGCGTATTAATACGGCATTTATTTAATATGATTATAATTATAATATTAATAGGCATAGATTATTCAGTTAGTTAAATGTCAATTGTTTACAGTTGGGGCTCGCAGCGGCGGTCGCGCAGTCTTGGTATAATGTTGAACAACGAGATGGACGACTTCGCGATACCGAACCGTGAATCCGCGTACGGTCTGCCGCCGTCGCCGGCCAACATGCTGGCGCCGGGCCTGCAGCCGCTCAGCTCCATGGTGCCCAGCATTGTGGTGTCCCGTGATGGGGTCGCACGGATAGTGCTCGGCGCCGCCGGCGGGACCAAGATCACTACACAGGTCGCCTTGGTAAGTGGTCAATCATATATTTTTAAAGAAGTGCAAACAAATTTCTTCTTAACTTTCTAGTAACTTATGTTATCAATTGAATATCTGTTAGTGTGATAAATCACAAACGGATTCTATTTGTCACTTATCAAAACATATTGTATTATCACAACTAAAGTCATGAATAATATCTTTACAATAGTAGACAAATAGGAATCAAATTGCATTCGGAGCTTTGTTGAACACTTCACTCGTCACCGGAGTGTTTTCATCATGTTGGCAACGAATTATGAACAGATTATAAAATAATCGTAGTTTCTTACGATCTGATACTACCTATTTTTACCCCTGTAGGCGGTGATGCACACAATACTGGAGGGTGCGGAGCTGCCGGAGGTAATGCAGCGGCCGCGGTTACACCACCAGCTTGTTCCGATGGAGATTGAGTATGAAGCGGATTTCGATGCGGTAAATTGTTTACAATATACTTTGTTTAAATAGAATTATAAATTTTAGGACCAAATTCATAACCAATGTATTGATGATCGATGAAAGAGAATGTAAGTGCAGTAATACCTTACTCTAACCCTAACGCCTTACTATAGCCTGTACGACCAGAGCACTAGTAGCGTTGAAACCGGTACTGTGGGCGATATTACTAATTTTGATGTGTGTTGTTATTGGCAGTCTTTCCCCGAATATACAGTCAGCAAGACTTCGTGGTTTATTTTTATTTATCTCTGTTTTTGCCTTGTTTTAGGGTACAATAGAATCACTGCAGGCCAGGGGGCACGCGACCACGGCCCGCGGTCCGACGGCCGGGTTCGCTGCCATGGTAGCGGCGGCGCGGAACACTAAAGGCGAACTGGTGCCGCAGACAGATCGCCGGAGAGTTGGCAGCACTGACGGCTTCTAAATATTTTTAAATATCTTTATTTCAGAACATCTCACGACCGCACTTATCAAATGAATATTTCAGTTTATGAATGTGAATTTCAAAAATTTGTGTCGGTCAACAACTGCATTTCTCATTTAAAAATAGATATACTTTTACTTATATTAAAATGACCAATGAGTTTGTATATGACTTAATAATCCAGGTAAACATTACATGAAGGTTTTTAATGTTATAATGAATTAAAAAGGGGGAAATCTCTGTAAGAAACACGTGTAAGAGAACAGTTTTAATTATGAACAATACAACACAACAACAATACTGGTTTAATACAACTTTTAAAACCAAATGTTTAAACAGGGTAAACAGTATCCCTAGTAAAATTTTAGTTGTAATTAAAATAAGTTGTGTGATATAGTTAGTATAAAAATTGTTGGTAATTAAATAAAGCTTGTTGACATATTTTATGAGTTTTGATTGTAAATAATGTTTTCACTATAAATGTAATTGATGTGTCATTGTGATGTCGATGTTATATAAATAAAAATAAATTGATGGTTTATTGTTTTCAAAACTTTTATTTTTGTTTAAAAAAAGAAACTGCTTTATCTTTACTCAGTATGTCTAAAATATATACTCATTTTCTTTCTTTAGAATTCCTAATTCCGGACAAATTGCTATGGACTTTGGCAAACGTATAGTATTGCACAAATGACAAGAGCGGGCATATAACTTTAACTAAACTACGCACAACTGTAGTGAGATTGTGAGGTGCGAGTGTTTCGCAGCCCAATCAACTGTTTAGTTGAACAACTAAAAATCAAGTAGTGTGCGCTCCTCGATAGCACCAAACGTGACTAAACAATTGAGTTGTGCGATAGTCAGTCAAAGGCGTGCGCGCACTTTAACTGTTAACTTTGGTTTCAGGACTCTGATGAATAAAGACGAACTTCCAAACGCGTAGTAAATAATAAAGAAATTGCAAATTTTGCTTGATCAAAATAATAAATCTTAATCAAACATTTCAATGTGGGTAAAAGCACCTAAAGTATATATAATAAAAAATAAAGTCTAATTTTCTCTAAAGCAAAAATGAAAATGCAAAAAGAATTACTAGTTTAACCCAGGCGTCGCGTAGGCGCTTATAATTTTAGGTCATAAAAATAAAAAACAAAATGTGATCGTAATTTTTACTCTTTATATTTTGGTCTATGACGTTTTCACTAAACAAAAATGTGTTATCTGTGAAGACAAAAGTCACTCAAATTAAAAACGCAATTCGCGCCAAGTTTGCCGGTTTACCCAGTTTTTAATTTTAGTTTTTGATTTTTATGGAATATTATTTGCTCCATTTTTCCTTGAAAGACACTAGATAAACGTTTTCATTTGCTTTTATGAGTTTTGGTGTTAGTAAATATGTCTTACAAATTATCAGAAGGGGCCCTGGAGGTATGTTTTGTCATAACGAATTGCAATACCGTTGATTATTATTGTAATTTAAAACGTACGATTTTCTAACGAAAATTTCTCTGAATCTCGAATTCTTGCTTTCTGTTAGGTTACATTCTCGTCTTGAATATGTTAAAATCTAATTTACAGGTCATAATGAATGGCGGTCATTATGATAAACCGGTGATGCAGATACTTGGGAACAAAAAGATTCAGGGTAGTGGCGCTAACGACAGATTCAGGTTATTGTTGTCAGATGGGAAACATTCGCTGAGTTTCGCTATGCTCGCGACGCAATTGAACGACAAACTGATAAATGGGGAATTGTCAGACTACTCGGTTGTCCAAGTGGACCGCTTTATCACTTCAGTACTAAAGCCTAATTCGGAAAAGTAAGTTGAATTGAGATGATTCTATAAGGGAGAAACTACCTCTGTATAAGGGAACAAAACTGGTATCAAGAAGGGCTTTTCATGTTAGAACTAGTTTATGTATGACTCATCTTTTTCTTAATTCTAACATATGAAACAATTACAGTAGACAGATAAGCTAGCTTGAAACCAAAATAATACATTTCATTATATAATCATGTAAAGAAATATAAAATTGAAAAGAGGGTAATTTTAAATTGTTACAAACTTAGGAAATTTCAATGTTACTAAGCTAAATAAATCTTTTACTTATTTGTAACCATTTCAGTGTATAATTTAATTAAAAACAACATAACAAAGACCAAATAATTGGCTAAATCTACTTATGCTTTAGAATTTTGATCATTTGCAAATCATATCATATTTTTATAATAAAAACCACTTCTAGGAGAGTTATGATCTTGATTGAAATCACAATATTAGCTCCTGGCTCTGAAGTTGGCAAGAAGTTGGGTAATCCTCAAACATGGACAGAGGACTCTGCACAAGCGCCTGCACAAGTCATGAAGCCAGCACCGCAGGCTAAGCCAACGCCAGCTCCCATCATCAAACCCTCCAACCCACAGCTGGACTCCAGTATGCTGTCATCGCAGATGACACATCCAATTGCAAGTCTTAGTCCATACCAAAATAAGTAAGTTAAATAGAATGTTGTTTTTGATAGATACAAAGAGATTGATTTAAGAATCTTAAATGCAGGGTTTGAATAAAATCAAAATAGTGTAAAAAACAATATAGTGAGGATGGTAGAATTACTGAAATGATTGTTGGTATACATTTGTTATGAATATGGCTGGTAGAAACGTATGGAATAGCTCATACTGTTCTGACCCTTCCTAGGAATAAGGACAAATTGATGATAATTTTTTTATGGATCCGATAACTAAAGGCCAAATACATTATAGTGTCTTAATTTGTAAAGCCATAGATAGATAAACTCCAAATTCTATTGATATGTAAAAATCTGTCGGATTATAAACAGTGGTTATTAAGAATCTTTAATATTTGTCTCTGTATTTGACCATAAGTTGTATTAACTTCATTTAAATCTGAAATATAAAGTAAAGATGTCACTAACCTATTATTAGTCATATTTAAAGTTTGAGGCTTTGTTCCTAATTGAATAAAATTAAATTAAAACCATTTACACTATGTTCTATTATAGATGGGTTATAAAAGCTCGTGTGATGAACAAATCGGCAGTCCGGACTTGGAGCAATGCTCGAGGTGAAGGGAAACTGTTCAGTATGGATTTGTGTGATGACAGCGGAGAAATTAGAGCCACCGCATTTAAAAATGAATGTGATAAGTTTTACGATATGATTGAGGTAAGATTTATATTCTATAACCAAGCTTGTAAAGATTTTATTTTAGATATGATGAAATATAGTTTTTCTAAGTTTTCGCATTAAAACTCCTTAGTTCTTACATGACTAGGTACCCACTGCTGATACACATGTATAAAAAATTTAAAATCTCTAATTTCCTGCTAGATACTCAGTTGTAACAGAACATTTAAACTGTCCAGTTAAAGTTGTACCTTCACCTGCAACTGTTTTAATCCTTAGTTCAATAGTGTCCAGTGTGATGAATAACTAATTGAAAATATCTACTCAATAACTTTACATAGAAAATATGCGAGATTTTCATTTTAGTGTGTTGCTAACATGTAATATTTTTTCTACAAAAAACTCCGTTGAATTGAGGGTTAACAGAACATCTGTAGCGGGTGATTTGATGATTGTTTTTGTTTGTTAAAGCATTGCTTGTACTTGTGTCTATCCATTTTCAGGTCGATAAAGTATATTATATAAGCAGATGTATTCTAAAGCCAGCAAACAAGCAATTTACGAGTCTAAAGAATGACTATGAGATGACTTTCACCGCAGACACAGCTGTCTCAGAATGTGTGGAGGATGCCTCAACAGTACCTTCGGTGAAGTTTGATTTTGTACCAATCAGTGAAATTGCTAATAGGAGTCCGGATTCATTGCTAGGTAAGATATATTCTTTATGTAATAATTGTAAACATTAAGTTAGAAATGTTTTTTTTTTTGTCATTGTTACCTTTACTTGTAATCCAAAGACGCAGAATTTAATTTTTTCTCTTCAAAAGTAAGATGAACAGGTTTCTTCCTTATGTACCAATTTAAGACTCAGAGTGCGACAGTTTATTTATGATTTTAGATATGATTGGTGTGTGTAAGAGTGCAGCGGAGGTGATGGAACTCACAGCTAAAAGTACGGGCAAGTTGTTGAAGAAACGAGAAGTGACGCTTGTCGACTCATCGGGTGGTGCGGTTAGTATTCAAAATAATTACAATTCTTTATTAATTAATGTTATTCTGTTATATTTCAAGGGTGGAAAACCTTTTACATATATTTTTTTTGCATTACACAATTAATTTCGTTTTCAAGTGCACAAAATATTGTGTCGCGTGCCAATGGTTCACTACCCCTGTACTGTACTAACAGGTATTATCAATTAATTTCAAATGTTGCTGACAGTGTGAACGCAAGTGACAACATGTATGACATATTTCAATAGTGCGCATTAAAATTGTATCAATTCCACTGTAAAATATTTAAAAAATCATTATGAATCCTCTGGTAAATACAGTTTAAAATACGCTAGCACTGTGACGTTGAATACTTTATTTCCAGATAACTCTTACTTTATGGGGTAATGAAGCTGAGAAGTTTGATGGTAGTTCAAATCCTGTGATAGCTGCTAAGGTAATCAAATAAAAATATTTTTGCCTCTACTTTTGATCTATCAAAGATATTTTTTCGGCTTTATAGGAAAATAGCTGTTGCTTGCGACTCGCTCGATTGAAATTAAGATATAATAAAAAAATTGCCATGTTACTCACTGACAAGGTAGCTTTTTAAAAATGAAAGATTTTTTTAAATTGGCCCAGTAATTATTAAATTATTTCAAAATTTACAAAATACAAATAATAATTAATATTAGTGATGTATATTTTTGATAATTTTCAGTGAATATTATAGTTTTGTAAAGTGCAAAAACCTTACAAATAAACGCAGTATAAAGTTAAACTTAGGAATAAACCGAGTATAAGTAAATGTTTATTTGTAAGGCTGTAAGTGTTTAAAAACAACTATAACCAGGTACCACAATCGTTGTAAAATATAAATGACCGGTTCAAACCAGGACAGTTATGCATTTAGCACACTGGCGCCAGTCATCGAGCGCTACTGTCCCGCGGAGCAGCCGCCCTAGACAAAGTCATTTTCGATTAGCGTCTCGCTTTTAGAATCGACAAAACGTGTCAAAATGTATAGGAATGGATACGTGACCTATGAAATGTTATCAGTTCCTTATACTGGAATGTTAGTTCGCGTAAGGGGGCTGGTGCAAGGTGTGTGTGCGCAGGGCGCGCGGCTGACGGAGTTCAACGGCAGCAAGTCGCTGTCGTGCCTGTCCAGCACCATGGTGCGCGTCAACCCCGACCTGGCGGCGGCGCACCAGCTGCGCGGCTGGTACGACAGCGGCGGCGCGCTCTGCGACACCGTCAACATCTCCGCCAGGTGACGCATACACCTACTTACAACATTACACTAACCTTACAAACTACAAACACCTTTTCCTTCCCACCTATTTTCCTCATAAGATTAGGATGAAAAGGGAACGTAGATTTCGGTCAAGGAAGGAACCTGGCGCCACACATTGGGCTGTATCCAGTTGCTCCATAGACAACTTTATCTGATGTTTGAAATGTCTCTTTTTTTTGCTTGAATGTGCTTTGTA